TTGCTAAAATATTAATATTAATATATATACATCCAAAAATTCGAAATATGATTTTATTTTCTCACTTATTGTTCCTTCATTTTGAATTTGATAATTACAAAATCTCTTTACATTTATATTCTTAAAAAAATCTTCTAATATTTTAGTTTCATCAAATAATTATTGATATTCTCTTTCCTTTTTATCTAATTATTATTTTAATTGATTTGTAATATTGATATCTTTTCTTAATTTATTTATATCAACCTAATACATAAGTTTTTCTTCATATTTCTTTTACATTATATCTTTCTCCTCTTATAGTTATTTGTACTATCTTTATAAAGTAGCTAAATCAGTATTAAGTTTTTAATTGGCCTTCTATAACATAAGAACATTATCTGATAACTTCTTTTACTTATTTTCATCTGTCTCATTTTGATTATTACATTGAATCTATTATATTGTTTATTCTAACTCTGTTTTTAAATTCGATAATTCAATCTTGGCTGTACGTAGTCTTTGATATTAATTAAAAATACTTATCAATTTCTTCCAATGACTTTTATTTTTAAGTTTACTCTAATTTCAATTCAGATCTTAGTTTTAATACTTCATTTTCTTTCATTATTAATTTTTGATTAATGATATCAAAACTATCTAAGAATTTACTTAATTTTTCTTTTTAGAATTTAAACTCTTATTATAATTATCCATACTTTTAGACTTCTTCTTAATTTACTTTATTTTTTTCTATTTCTTGTTATAATTCTAAATTTTATCTTTTAACTTCTTCCAAATTAATCTAAGTTTAATGAAATAAATCCGAGTAATAAATTTTCTATTCATTTAATAATTAAGATTCTTATTATTATTTATCAAATTGTTACTTAACATCTTGAAATTTTGATAAAACAGCCTACTTAATAAAATCATTTGTCAACTTACTCTCTTCTAATTCCATTGTAGCATTTAATTAAGATAAGAACTCAATTTAGTTTTATTCCATTTATGTAAAATTCTCCTTTTCTTTTTTTATTATTTTTAAAGATTTTAGAAATTTTTTTGACTTAAATTATGTTCGTTTTTTACATTTTAAAAGCTCTTTCAATTAATCTTCAATCAAACTTTCTTTTTATATTATTTAATCTTTCAAATTTATACATTCTAATTATAATTTTTCAACTATAGATTTATTGAATTCAATTTCATTTTATAATCTTTCAATTTCTTCACTCTAAAATTCAATAGTTTATGCATCAGTATCCATTTAATCTTTATTAATTTATAATTAATCATTAAGTTCACATATTTTATTTTCAAGTTCTTATAATTATTAAACTTTATCTTCTTAAAATGTCTCTAATTAAGTTTCATACTTTTAGATTAATTAAACTTATTCTTTGAATTAATCCATTAATATTTCTTTATCTTTTTATAGTATTTATAAATTCTACTCTTATTATGTGATAATCAATTATTATTCATTTCTTCTATGTTTCAAAATTGTTTCTTCCTATTATAATTCCATAATTCTTTAATTTAATAATTCATTTTTATATTTCAAATCTTTTTAAATTTCTAATGCCTATTCCAATTACAAATCTTTATCTTACATACCTATTTGTGAACATTTTTGATTTTTAGTATTATAATCTTCCAATTCAGTTATTCTAGATTCATAATACTCTTTCATTTATTTAAGTTCTTTTGTCAATTAATCTTAATATTAACCACTTTCATTTAATTAATAATTTAAAGTATTTATTTTTGAAACTAATTCAACTTCCTTTTATTTTTTTGGAATAATCTCAGATTAAAAAACAGATTATTATAATTCATTTTTCAATCGTTTTATTTCTGCTTTTAAAGATTCCAAATTACCACCAACTTCTTCATTTACTATAGCTTAATTCTTAATATTTTTGGCTCTTGAAGCAAATTTTAATGTTCCTAAAGTTTCTTAAAAAGAAGAACTAGCTGCAGATATTGTTGCTATCATAACAGTTTTAGAATTTCCTCCTAAACTTTCTCTTAAAAGAAATGTCAATTTACTATCTCTATAAGGTATAAATTTCTTTGGATTTTCAGCCAAAGAATTAATTACTAAACCTAAAACAGTAAGAGATTTATTAATATTAGATGCCTCTTTTAATCTTTCTCCAGTAGCTGCTGTTAATTTTTATCTTTCACTTCCAGCCAAATCAACAAAATTCAATTTACTTCTTCTTGTATACATTCCTTTTGTTCTTTATTCCATTTATAAAGTGAATATAGAATGACTTCTAGAACTCTCCAAATTCATTTATGTTGCAGATACATGTCTATTGGCTAATCCTCTTTACATTAAAGATAAAACATCATTAAATGATTATGCTGCAATTTCTGTAAGATTTTCAACATAAACTCGTTTAGAATCTTCTCTAATTGTTAAAGGCATAGGTTTAGCATCATTTAAAAGATCAATCAATTATTCATTATAAATTTCTAAATAAGTACATTTTATTGTCCAATTATTCTCTTTTGGTAATTCTTTAAATAATTATTAAATCAAACGTGGTTATAATCCTAAATGTATACTATCATTTGTAATATCATCATAACCTTTTCCTTACATTGTATAAGTTTTGCCAGCACCTGTTTAACCATATGCAAAAATACAACAATTCAAACCATCAAGAAATGATTGAAGTGTAGAATTACCAATTTTATCAAAGACTTATTCTTATGTTGAATCAGCACCCAATACATGATCATAAGTATATTCTTTCTTATTATCCAATGTAATGGAATTAGCAGTTGTAGAAACACAAGCATTTGCACCTAAATGAGTTTCTCTATAATTTAATGGCCTAACCCTAACTAAGACTCTAATATTTTCCATCAATTTAATGGGTATTTAAAAATTTGTTTAACGAATTAATTTAAATTAAAAAATGAATTAAATGGATGGATTGATTGAAGAGAATACATAATTAAAGAAAGCTATCATATCATCAAAAGCTGTTATATCAAGAAAGATAAGTAATATAATTATAGAATAATTTAGATGAATTTGAAACTTTACAAGCTATTAATGATGAATTAAAATTATAAGTTGATAAATTAAAATTGGAGAATAATGAATTGAATCAAAAATTTAGAATTGCACTTCATGAAAAAAAGTAAACTGAATAATAATTTGATAATGCCAGCAAAAATTGGAAATTATTAATAGAACAAAAATAAAGAGAACTTGATGAAATCTAAAATAAATTAAGTCCATCTTTTGATTAAGATATGATTAGAATTAAATTATTAAATGAATTAGAAATACCACATAGATAATAACTTGATGTTAAATAAAATGAAATTGAAAAGTTAAATGAAATTATTTATCAACTTAAAAGAAATTTGGATCTTGAAATTGCAAAAGTAGAAACAACTAAATTAGAAAATGTTAAAGAAATTAAATTGATTCAAGACAGATTTAAATTAGATATGTCTGATTTATAACATTAAATAGAAGAACTTACAAAAATAATAGAAGATAGTAAAGATAGAGATGTAATAAGAAGATTAAGAAAAGATTTAGATGAATATAAATTGAAATTTAATAATACAGATACTGAAAATTAAGATTTAAGAAATGAAAGAGATAAAATAAGAGAAGAAAAAAATGAAATCATGATTAAATTTGCTAGATAAATAGATTAAGAAAGAAATGATAAACGTTAATATAAAAGTGATTTTGATAAAATATAAGTTAGAACTAGATTTGTAGAAGATGAATTAAGAAAAGAAAAATAAAGAAGAGAATAAGTTACTACAGATTTTGAAATATTGAAAACAGAAAAAGATTAATTATTAACTGAAATAAGAAAGAAAGATGATACTATACATTATCTATAAAGAAAGATTGGAGATATGGAAGAAGAATAATTAGAATAAGAATAAAAAGTTTAAGATAAATTAACTCGTCTTTATTAAGATGAACATGATAAATATTTATAAGAAAGAAATAAAGCTGTTACATTATAGAAAGATCTTGATAATTTAAAGAAAAGATTTAGTGATTTATAAGATGATTATAAAATACTTAAAGATAGATACTTAAAGGAAAATAATGATAATAAGGATAATAATAAAACATAAAATGAAGAAATAGAAAAATTAAAGAAGATATTATCATAATAACTTAAAGATATTGGTGATTTAGAAAGATCAAATAAAAATAGAGAAGAATAAATACATGATATTGAAAATGAAAATGAAACTTTAAAAAGAAGAAATAGAGAATTACAACATAGAATATAATTAATTGAAGTTAATCCTTTACCCTCCCCCTAATAAGCATAAATGATATTTAATTAATCATAATTCCCTAGTTTCGCTTAAGTTCCACAATATGCTTAATAGATATAAGAATAATATGATACTAAACCTAAATAAAATATTGTTGTTTAATCAGAAAATGAACCTTAAAATTAAAATTAAACTTAAGCATAAAAATAAACTATGTAATAGATTACAGAAGAAAATAGAACATTAATTCAAAAAAATAAGAAGCTTAATAAAAAATTAAAGGAAGCTAATGATAAAATTTTAGAACTTTCTATGAAAAATACTCTTTTAGAAAAGTAATTATAAAGATAACATTCAGTACCTTCTATTTCACATTAAGGATATGAAGGTAATTACACACATTCTTAATCTCCTCTTAGATACAATTATGAAAACTATGAATAATAAGATACTAGGTAGATATAGTAAATTCATACTGATACTAGATTAGATAGATTTGATAAATAGGATAGATATAGTTAACCAAATTAAGATAAATATAGATCTCGAAATTAATCAGGAATGAATTAATAATCTAAATAGGGTTATTATAATGAGATTCATGAAGATGATTTACTTAATAAAGTAATGATGTTAACTAATAATAATAATAATACAGGTTAGACTAAATATTGGTGACTTTCATATTTATTTAATAAAAACTTAAATTAACATATTTATAATTTATAATTCAAATAATGTTTCTGTTTATGTTGCTATCATAAACATTAGCTTGTTCAGGTACACATATGAATATTATCTAGATCAGAATTGCGTAGAATGTAATTAAACTACAATTTGCACTGCTTGTGTATCAATATTGACCAAACTCTTAGGTTTCTCCCCTAATATTAAGCAATAATCAATGTGTTTCCAGTTGTCCAACAAATTATTATCCTGACTCTATAAATAATGTGAGATAGTGTTTAAAATGCAATGACAAATGTTTGGAATGTTTTAATGGCACACCATCTGGTTGTACTAAATGCATGAAGCCTTTAAGATTAATGTGTGGCAATTGTATTGATAGTGTAGCAGATTCTGGTTGTTCTGATTGTAGTTCTTAATGTGTAATAATACAATCAAATATTTAAGATAACATGTTTTGGCAGAACTTCATCCGAATGCTATCTTTGTAAACTTCCTAATTTCCATTCTCCAAACACAAACAGTTGTGAATTAATATGTGAATATCCATTATATGGAGATGTGAATGACTTCTAGTGTAAAAACTTTTGTCCTTCAGGCACTTATGGTTAACCAATCACAAGATAATGTTTGCCAAATTGTCCAGATCCTTATTTTAAAAATTAATTGAAGACAAATTGTGTGAAAGAAGTATATCTATTATTAAAATATCAAGTGTCCAATAGGTACATATCCCGAAGATAAATCTTGTTTAATTTGTCATACAAGCTGTGAAACATGTTCTGGTGGAAAATCAACAGATTGTATATTCTGCAAAGAAGGATTATATATGAATAACAAATAGTGTGGATAATGTGAAAAAATGTAATACTCAAATAATGAAACAAGAACATGTGTAGATTTCATTACATATTCATTAAATATTTTAGAAGCTTATGATTCAACAATAGTATTTGAAATTTCATTTTCAAGCAGCATAAATCCAGATACTCTTGATCTTAAATCTTAAATAAATGTTATGGATATAGATAGTTCATAATATTAAATGTAAATAATAATTTAAATTTTTTAGGACATTAAGTTCTGTTTAAGATGATTAATTCTATATCATTACTTTAGATTTTGATATATCTCATAGAAATACTTAAATCTATTGTAATTTTACTAACAATATTATGAATGAAATTAATACTCCAATTCTATTTTCATCTGCAATTTAAGATTTATAAATACCTGCATAATTTATACCACCATCATAGGAAGCCAATAGTAATTCTATTAATACTTATTTAATCATAAGTTATTTATCTTATTTTTGCTTTTTGTTTCTACTTTGTTTAATTTTAAGAACCTAAAGAAGAATGTTTTACTTAATTATCAACAATTTATAATTCATTTAAGTAATGATTTTTATCAATTTTACTTTTTCAACACTTACTTTGAATTCTCTTTAACTTTTGGATATTGTAAATTTAAGGAGAATACCAGCATTAGGTATTTCATATGATGGTACAATTTTATATTTCTTTAATACACCAATTTATAATTAAATTCCAAACAATAATTTTCTTTATAATGCAGGTTATTATTATAATTTCATAGCTAATGGAGGAATATAAATTCTAGGAATTTTAATTATATTTTGGGTTATATGGATAATTAGCTATATTTTACATAATTTATATTAGATAAATAATAAAATAGAGACATTAAAGTTTTATAGAACAATGCTTGAAGGTAGTAGTGATTTATTAGTTCGTGTTCATGAGTTTCTCTATTTTCCATTAATTCTTATTTCCATTTTATAACTTTGGGGATATGATTTTAGTTCTGATATCAATATAGCTTCATTTGTTTTGTCAATTGTTACTATATTATACTATCTATTATATTTCAGAAGTGTATACAAATCATAATTTCTTGATATTGATCAATAAGAAATGGAAAATAAATATTTTACATTCTTTTCAGATTTCAAATAATCAAATGAAATCAAAAAGAATTATGAATTTATTAATTACTTTTTAAAAACTAGTAATGCATGTTCCCTTATATTCCTCAATAGTTTTCCTTATATTTAATTTTCAATTTCATTTACTTTGATTTCACTCTACTTCATACTTTTAATACAAAGAAGACCATATTTAAGAAATATTATGAATTATTCAGCTATATTTGGATATTTAATTATTATTGGATTGTATACTACAACAATTATATCAGAATTAGAGTATCAAGCTAAAATTAATAATATTGCTATTACAAATGAAGATGTTGAAAAATAATACAATTTTGGATTATCATTTATGATATTAATTTAGATTGTCTTAGGATTCTATGCAATCACTTTTAGTTATAATAAATTACAAGATTATTTAAAATTTTTAGAAAAAAAACCAGATTGGGGAAAGAATTTTTTATAAAAGATGGAAAAAATCATGTTTTCAGATAAAATTCAAGAAGTAGAAATGGGTAATATGTCATTAACAAATTGAATAATTTTAATTATTAATTTAAATTAATATTTTTGTCTAAAACATAAAATAATAATCATATCTCAATATTATATTATAGATATATTAAGATATATTATGATATATTTTAATTAAAATACTGAATTTACTTAACTTAATATTTTATTAATAATTTAAATATTGATAACACATAATATCTGTAATTTTATTATATAATCTTGATTTTATTTCTGTAAGTAAATTGATTTTTAGATTATAACATTAAACTTGATTTATTATTGCAAATTAAACAAATAATCTTAAAATATATAAAAATAATCTACAAGATTTAATCATGTTTTAATATAACCTCTCATGATAAATTAGAATTTATTACTATTAACTAAGAGTATCAATATAACACTATTACAAAATATTTAAATAATATAAATTTTATTTTGATGTTTCTTATGAAGCCTTAAACACCTACATTTGGAGATAAAAATAATTCAAGAAAACCTCAGATTTAAATAAATGAAATTAATAGTAATTCTCGCTTTTATAGTATACCTACTCGTTAAACAAATGCTTAAAGCAGAAGTTCATCTTAAAGAAAAAAAAAAGATTAGATGGTAATAAATTATTTGAATTATAGATAAAAAAATGGAAAGACCTTTATGATGAATAAACCAATTTTTATATGAGATTGTTAAAAGTCAATAATATTGAATTTATTGAGTTACCTAAATTTTAACTATAAAAATGATCTATGCTTAATTAATTTATAGTATTATACATTTTGGTTTCAATAAAAATAAAAAATGACTAATCTGTTTTTACTTAAATCAATAGATTATTCATTAACAATTCAAATAAATATAAATACCTATTATTCTTTTTTTAGATTAAAGTTTTTCTTATAATTAAATAAATCAATAAGATGAATCCATGTGAATCTCTTTTAAAATTTTAACCAATCAACAATCTCAATAAAAGAACTTTTGACTTAGATTTATTTGAATTAGAGAAAATAAACTTCTTAAATAAGAAGGATAAAATGATATTATCAAATAATAATTGTCAAGAAATTAGAACACCTACATTTTCTAAAAGTCGTGAAATATAATATGACTTAAATTAAGATGCTAAGAAAAAAATGAAAAATGTTAACCTAAAATTGCTTAAAAGATATACTAGAAGTAAAGAAAGTGAAATAAACGAATAATCAACACTTCCTAATACTTAATAAACCATAAATTAATGATAAATGATGATGATAGACTACAAATTTATGATAAATGAATAAAAAATATATAAATATCACTTAGTTGTTTTGTAAATAAAGTTTGGATTTTCTTTATATTTTTGTTATAATTTTTATAGCCAAATTTACAATACATTAGCTGGTGTGATTAAAACATCTATTTCTTATCCATTTATTACAACTTCCTTATTATAAGCAGTCATAAAATTATATAAATTTTATGCTATTGTCAATCCATATTTTAGCTTATTTTAAGCATCATTAGTTAATTATACTAGTTCTGTGATTTATTCATTAATAGGTTCAACACTAAGAACTAATTTTATTTAATCTTATTCAGATAAAATTTAATTGAAAGATGTAGCAAAAATATCTGAAGGTCTTTGATTTGCAATAGCTCCTAAAAATGATATACCATCAAAGGGATATCTAGAGTAAAATAAACACACTGCATATCCTTCAGGTATAGGATTAAGTAAAAATAAAGCAATTGAATGCACTTATTAAGCATTTTGAATATCCATCAAATAATAGTTTCCATTCATTAAAAATTAAGTCTAACTTAAGTATCCTGGAATCATGACTCCAAATGGTGCTTATATTAAATTAGAACCAATTTGATTATACATTTTATTAAAATCATAATAATGAAATAAAAAACAAGGTGTTTTCTATTTCTGAAATAGAATGTTCCAGGTTTTTCTTTTTTATTTAGAAGTCTTTTAAGTATAAAAGAAATTGAAAATTATATAATAATAAATATATTATGAATTTCAATCATCATCCTCATAATCTCCATATTAAAGTTAAGATTATATTTGCCCTCTTAATGGTTTTTATTAAAATTGATTTTTAACTACAGGAGTTAAATTTTATGATATTTATGATTATTATTATATTTATCTGGGCTAAGATTGATTAAAACTCTTTGACATAACAAGAGATCCATTTTCAAGATTATTATCATCTTATTTAGGAGAATTAATTTCATCATTTCTTGCATATTTAGATAAATTTTATGAAATTTGTTTCATTTCTTAATCTCCTATACCTCTAAGTTATTATTATTATCTTAGTTTTTCTTCATTTATATGTTTATGTCTTCTAATTTTAACATCCACTTATTCTTATTACAATAATTTCTTATGACGCAAACCTCTAATAATAGATTGATAAAATATACACTGATGGTATAAAGGCTAATAATTCAGATTATAGACTTGTTTTAATTTAATATAATTTGTCTTCCTTTTAGTGCAAATTGAATAGGCTATATTAGATTTGGAATAAAATACCTATTTCTATTTCTTTACAAAATATCATTGACTTAATTGATATAATCAGAATATTTTTGCTATTGAGAATTTCTATATTGTTAAAATAATGTTTACTTTTCCAATTTTAATTATTTTAACTATTCAGTTGTTAACTTAATAAGAGCTTAATTGTTTTTATGGTCACTTTAATCTTACATAGATTGAACACTTTCATCAAGTAACTTTCTCTTAGCTTGTCTTCATAAGAATAATCAATTTACAATTCATGATATGTTGCATCATAGTCAATTATAGAAATCATTAATAAAATTTAAAAATATAATTCAAGCATATTTATAAACTAATACAATTGAAATACCAGTCAAAAAAATAGCTAAAACAATTAAGAATATTATTTTATGTTCTCTCATCTTTGATTAAATTCTTGATAAACGACTATTTGATTCTCCTAAATCATATTATATTTCTGGCATTTTATTAATATTCCTATCTAAAGTATCAGATTAACTTTTTAATTAAACTTAAATATTATTAGAAATGGATTCTATTTCAAAACATACTTTCTTTGCTTCTTCTAATTATAATGTTTATTTGACTAATTTATCTTATGTATTTATAAATTGTATTTATTGATTATCTTATTCACCAAATAAAGAATCTTTAGTTTTTTGAGATACAATTTCATCTTAAAGTATTCTAAATTATTTTTTTAATGTTTCAGTTTCTGATTTATATCTTTTAACTTTATTTTTTAATTCTTATCTATCTGAAACTGCTATACTGGCTGACTCTATATCCATTTATTATAACTATACAAATTAAATATATATTATACACAATTCTGCAAATCACTAAAAATTGAATCTATTTCAATTAAAGCTTCATCTGATTTATTGATTTATATTTATTGAATTAATGAACAAACTTATTATTAATATTTTTCAAATTCTACTTCATAACTATTGAAAACTTCAGACATTTTGTTATATTTAAAATCTATAAATAAAATTATAATAAAAATTATCAAAAAAAAAAATATAGTTGATAAAAATTAATGATCAAACAACTTATCTTCTACGTACATTATCTTCAGATAAAACAGCTAATTTAGTTTCTAAATTTCTTATTTTCTATTTGTATCCATTTAATGCATTTTCACTTCTATCTGTTTCTTATGATTATAATTAATCTATTTTTTATTTAAATCTAAATAATTATTCTTCAGAAGCACTTAATTAATCTTGTAATTTATCACTTAACAATTTCAATTATTCATTTTCATTTAAAATAAAATCTATCTTTTGATCAATATCACCCAAATTGTTTAATTCATCTTGATTAAATTTCAACTATTCTGTTAATTCAGCATTCCTCTCTAATAATTATTTTATATGTTCTTCTTATGCTACAATAGTCTCCTTTTTATTCTCAATCTATTAATCCTTATAATCTAATTCTTTCAAAACAGATTAATATTTAGTCTCTGTTAGAATTCTATCCTCTTCAGATTTGCTTATATATTTAAAATTAAATAAATTACATTAATTATTCTTTAAGAATAACTACTTCTCCTCTTAATTAACTTAATTCTGTTTAATCGCAAGATCTTTATTTCTAGTATTTTGATTCTTTTGTTAAAAGTTATTTTATGAGTTCTGCTGATTTCTCGTTTTCTTCAAGAAGTACTATAATCTTTTTAACTAAATCCACTCTTTATTAATTAGGTGACAGATTCTCTTTATTTTTAGGTGATTGCCAAGTAGCATACTTGCAATCAGTACTAACAGAACGAACTTGTTGAAAAGGTTGTCTTATGAGGGCTGGTCCTTAAACTTTGGAAGGAGAACACACATTCATTAACGGTATATTTTATATAATTCATTTATATTTTAAACTAATTTTATATATTGTATACACAAAACCATTATAAAATTATATTCATTATTAAACATTCTATTTACGATTGAACTGATCTATACACTAGTTCATGTTAATACTTTGATATTTAAATCATTACTATTAGTATATACAGTATTTGATTGCATATATAGTATTATATTTTTAATATTTGTGTAATAATAGATTATATATATCTATATATGATTTTATTCATTATAAGATATATCATAAATAAATAGAGATATAATTTAATTTATTTATACATAAACAATAAAAATAAAAAATAAAAAATCATAATATTTAAAATCCAACATATGTTCTTAGTAACCATTTTATTATTTCAGCTATAGCTAATAAAAGCAAACAAAATGGTAGTCCTGCTGAACCTAATAATTCCCAAGGCATATTAACTGTCTAAAATACCCATTAAATTCCTGGAACATACACAATTATTGGTAATATAATTAATGATATCGTTAATCCATATATAGCTAAAGTATTAATTCTAGTAGAATTATAAGATTTAATTAAAGTTCTTAATGCAAAGTAATTGATACTATTTTATGTAATTATTTATACCATTATGATAATACTAAGACAATATAAAAAGATGTAGATGCATAATCACTTGCTTTGGCTGTATAACAGTATTACAAATTACTTAAACAATTAGGGTATTCATATTTAGTATTCCAACAATCAGTTAAATATCCATTTTAAATTTACAATTCAGAACAAGTACCACATTATACAAATATTAATCTCTAATCAATAGTATTATTAGGAGAACTCCATTAATAATTTTACATTTCACCATTATATAAACAATTATCTATTAAATTAGAATTACCTAGTGTATTACTCAATGGATTATAAATATCTTAATTACCAACAGGATAAACTCTAGCAAATCTTGTGAAATAAAGATTTTATAAATTAAAACCAAAATAACGATAAGCACTGAAACTTGCCATTAAACCTCCACCTGCCTCAATACAACCAATAATTAAAATAGCAAAGAGAAAGAGATTAGTTCTATTGGGAATTCTATATTCTAATTCTTCTCTAGCTAAACTGATTCCAAGAATCAAATCAACAGAAATACTAGTTAATAACATAAGATTTTATGAGAAGGGTAAAGGAGTTCCAAGAAAACAATAGACAAATAAAGCCAATATCATAGCTGTATTTGAAGATAAGCAAAGCATAATAGATTTAATAACATTATTGACAGCTCTTTTTGATTCTAAGATTGCTTAATAACTATCAAGAAATGTTTATTTACTGGAAGTAAGTACTAGATCACTAGAATTTATAATCATTTACTATGATCCATGTTTTTTACTTATACTTATATCAGCTTGTCTAAATGCTCCTAAATCAGTTAATCCTTCTCCAGTAATAGCTACTTTATAATTCAATTATTATAATGCTTTTACAATACTTAATTTTTATTCTGGTGATGTTCTAGCAAATACTATTTCTTATTAAGAACACCAATTTCCTAATTTATTTTCAACAGAACTTAATCTTGTGACTTCTTATTGATCATCTACATGTAAATATAATTAATGTCCTTCTATAATAGTTGGATTATTATAATATCCTGTATTTTTACAAATAATTCTTGCAGTTTCTGGATGTTCTCCAGTAATAATAACTAATTTAATATTTTATGATTATAATTTTTCTAGAATTGGAATAGTTTATTCATTAAGACTATTATTTAAATATAAAGTGCCTAAATAAACAAAGTTTTATTTGTTGAATTCATAATCATTTTCATTAATTTTTAAATCTTCTTCATTTTCAATTTCTAAATAAGCAAATCCTATACTTCTAAGTCCTTTTGAACATTGATTAACTAATTATTCATTAAATAATTGAGTCTATTTAATATCAATTTTATCAAATAATGTCTTATTACAATAATTCCATATAACTTCAGGTGCTCCTTTAATGTATACAAAATATTTTTATCCCTATTCCACAATTGATAATGAATATTTCTTACTACTATTAAATGGTAAATGATATTAAATTCCATTTACATAATATTTAGTATTTTTTATTAAACTATCTGTATCATCATCCTTAAAACAATCAATAATACACTTTTCTGTTCCATCTAAATTTGTATGATTACAAGTTAATATTGCACAATAATAAAGATGTATAGAATTGTATTTACGACATTCATATAATAATTATTTACAATCATTAAAAGAATTGAATGTGTAATTCTTACTAGTAATTACTTCATTTAATCCAATACATAAACAATTTATTTCACTTAATCTCTCAATACTTTCAGCATCCTTAATTAAAAATCTAAGTTTAGCCAATCTCCTTATTGCCATTTAAAATGATATTGTAACTATTACTAATAATCCTACTGGTACAATTGCTATAATCACTTATTCAACTACTCTAAATCCATATGCAAATACATTAGAAGTATCAATTTCAGACATAACACTACTCCAAATTATTACTAATATTATAACAAATAATGCTATTAATGTCATTATTTATTAGAATAAAATTAATTATTTCTACAATAACTTACTTCCTTATCTCTTTTGAATCTATGCAATTGTAGTACTTGATCCAGTCTTAATTACCACAGCTTTACCAAATCCACTTCTTATTAATGATCCACAAAATATTTATGACCCTTTTATTGCTTAAGTTATATCCTGATTCATTTATATTTATAAATCAGAAGATTCCAATACTCTCATATCACAATAGATTACTAAACCTTCTTTAATCACACAAATATCACCTGATACTAGATTCTAAACCTAAATATGCTACATTTTTCCATCTCTGTATACAGTAATGATTTATTCATTATCTTTCTCTATAGCATATTAAGATTTCTTTCTTTATTAATATCCCATTGCAAAAGTAATTGTTATTACTATTAATAATAGACATGATGTAATTATTTCTTCTCCACTAAATTCAAGATTATTTTAACTTCCATATATTGCTAGACTAATTGAAATCATTGTTGCAATAATTAGATCAAATGCAAATAAATTTAATTCTTTTATAAACATTTTCCAATCACTTACATCAATTGATTTTGATTATTATCTTTTAGATGCTTCTTCACTAGAAAGTCCAATACTAAAATTAGTTTTCAAAAGTCTTTCTAATTAATCCAAAGGACAAAAGTATTCTTGCATTTCTGCATACTTTTCATATACACTTGGAGCTGGTCTCTCTATCTTTTAGTCTTATTCAGCATAATTTATACTCATTTAGAGTTTAGTCTGGATATCAGGTCCTTTTTCTAGAAACCTAAATAACTCACATTCCTACCTAGGCTTGCATATCAGCATATCCTACATTTCGGAATCTGTCATCTTCTATTTATAATCTAATATATTAAATTTTTTTAATTTTATATGGAACACAGAAGTATCTAAAATCAAAAGATTAATATTTTGTTATTATTCTTCAAAAAATATGATATATTATATTATAATTATCAATTATTGTTAACTATGTTAATTTATCATCATAACTCTTATGTTATTAATTATGTATACATTATTATTAAGATATTAGATTGAAATATTGTAGTTTTTAGAAATCTAATTTTTGAATTGAAGATAAACATATATTAATATATTGTAAACAATGATAAAATATATATGAATATCTACTACTATAAATTATTATTTTTATTATTATTATTATATAGATTTATAAATAATTATTAATTTTCTTAATAATGAAAAAATTGAAGATAATTAAGAAATAATGAATATTAGAAAGATATCTATTTAAAAATAAGATATTAAATTACTCAAATAAATTAATAAATTTCATTAATAGCTTTAGTAATATTCTAAATTTCATTTTATATATTTGAATAATCTTATTCTAATTTTAAAACAGTTTAGAACTATTTAAATATATTAAATAAATCAGATTCCATTTTATCAATCTATATTATATTGAATAGAATTATACTTAATCTTTTTGATCTTCATATTCAGTTTATACGTCATGTAAAACTCTAGTCAAAACTGTGCATGCATCTTCAACAGATTTGATTCTTTCATCTTTTTCAATAATATCATTCTAAATTTATTCGAATTTTTATGGTATAGCTACAAGAATTTGTTTGCCTGTGTCAGTTAATTCTGATATCTATTATTATAAAGATTCAGGAATGACAGGAGTAATGCAAGTTAATTTATGTATAACATCCTCTAGATTTAAAATTCTTTTTTCAAGTTCAAACAATTTATCATTACTATTTTATTACAATTGTAACATTTCTAATTTATTGACAACAGACCACATTTGTTTAAAAGCAAGATCAAAAATTTCATAAGTTACATATTAGTCAGGACAAATAGTTTTGAGTTATTCAATTGATAATGATCCATCTGATGAATGGATTCTTTTAGTATTTTTCTTTTAACTCATAAATTGAATAATAATTTTTATGGGAAATAATTGTTGTGAATGTTGTATAAAGAAGAATTAAAAAGATAATAATTATGATGCAAATGAAAAGGAAATTGAATAAACAGTGGATTATAAAATATAAAAAGGACCAACTCATATAAATGTTTTATATAAAAATTTACAAACAAGTAATTGCATTGTATATGTTTCTTGTTGTGATGAAAGAGGTAGAAACTCATAAAATTCATTACTATAAAAAGTATATAAATGAATAAATATAAGAATGAATAAGTTGCTGAATAATTATTGAAAAGAAATAATCAAATAGGTCAACTTAGTGAAATTACAATAGGGAAAGTCTTTTTTTTCTTTTTTGTTTTACCATTATATTTAGGAGAAGAATAATAAATTCTCCTTTTAAAACAATAAATAAAATAATTTGCATAAATTATTATAGATAGAAATTTGACTGAAATTGCAATTGAAGATATTGGAGTTTAAAGATTTGGATATCCAAGATAAGTAAGTTAAATTTATTTATAATAATAAGCTTGTAGCTAAATTGATTATTGAAACATTTGCTAATTAATTACATAAGATGGTAAGTTTAAATAGGATTGATTTTATGATAAATGATTTAAAATCAAAAGTTTTGTTTGAAGAAGAAATTCAAGCAAGAAGGGAAATTTTAATAAAAGGAGATTCCTTATTGAAAATTGATTAAACAGATGAGAAATCTTTAAAATAACCTTTGATGGTCTGAAATATATTATAAAAACAATAAGTTTTGATTATCTATTTAATAATTAAAATGCCACCTAAATAATAAAGAGTTCCTATTAAAAGACCATAAATTGTAATTATTTTTAATTTCGATTCTAGAAAAAATAAGCCAAATAAGTGAATCAAAATTTAAATCAATAAGATACTGAATCATATGGATATGAGTCAGAATACTAACATGAGGTTTTGAAAAAAATTTTAATTTTACTCTTAATTTTATTTGATTATATTTTATTAATCTTTATTATATAAATTAAACTATATTAGAGAGAAAAAGAGAGACCTCAATAAACTGATAAAGAATTGAATTAAGACATGTTATCTAAAATGCTTATACCTAATAATCCTCAAGCACCAAAAAATATTACTTAATATGACTATTTATAAAGAAAGGTAACTACTAAACATTATGATTGTATAAAACTGATGAATTGGTTGAATAATTGATTCTACATTTTAGGATAGATGGAGAAATTATACATAAAGACTCTAATGAAGCTAAAATACAAGAAGAATTATAGGAAAAAAAATAAGCATTAATCAAAGAAGCTTAAAGAAATTAAGAATTGGAGGATCCTGGAGCATATAAATATCTTGAAGCAATTAAATAGACTATGAGAAATAAGTTTAATTATAATGCAGGGAAGCCTAGACTGAAGGAAGAGTAATTAGAGAAAGAGGAGTTTCAACTGAATCTCCACCAAGTGATACTATAAAAGGTCAAATTACTCAATGGGAAATCTTTGATGCCTACATCTAGAATAAGGCTAAGGAAAAAGATATAAAAGATAAAAGATTACAAATCTGACAATACAGTTTATAAACCATCATTTAAAAGATGTTGAAAAATTATGGAAAAACTATGGTTCATAATAATTAAAAAGAGAAATATAATGATTATAAATATTATTGGAATTAAGGAGAAGTAGTTGAAGCATTAAAAAATGAAGGGTATATATTATATATATATTAAAAGACATATGTTACCAATTTGAAAGTTTTCAAATGAGAAATAAAAAAAAAACATGTAACTTCTTTGTGTTGGAATCCTCGTTATATGGATTTATTTGCTGTTAATTTTGGTAGCTATGAATTTTGAAAATAAAGAATGAGTCTTATATATTTATTTTCTCTTAAAAACACAACTCATCCAGAATATGCATTCACATTTGAAGCAGATGTTATGAGTTAAGATTTTCATCCTTAAAGTCTAGCATTATTGGCTGTTGGATTATATGATGGAACAGTGTTAATTTATGATATTAGAAATAAACTTAAAAAACCAAATTATTAATCAACAGTAAGAACATAAAAACATACATATCCTGTATGGTAAGTAAAATGGAATCCAGATATTTCAAAGAACTATAATTTTTATTCAATATCATCAGATGGTAGAGTAATGAATTGGGTTCTTATGAAAAATAAATTAGAACCTGAAGAAGTCATTAGATTAAGATTAGTTGGTAAAAATGAAGAGGAAAGTGCATTGATTGGATTAGCTTCTGTGGTTTATGTTTTGATTTTAATAAATTTGAACCTCATATATTTTTAGTAGGTACAGAAGAAGGAAAAATCCATAAATGTTCTAGAGCATATTCTGAATAATATTAGGAAACCTATTAAGTAAAATTATATAATAAAAATAAATAGGGTCATAATTTGGCAGTTTATAATGTAAGATAGAATAATTTTCATGATAGAACTTTCATACCAGCTTCAGCAGATTGGATAGTAAAAATACAGGACTCAAAAATTCCATCATAAATTATGAGTTTTGAATAAGGAATGTAAGGTAGTTGATGCAATGTGGGCTAGATATAGTTCTACAGGTATAATAAAATATTATTAATTAATAAGTTTTTGCATGTGCTACTTAAAATAAAATATTTTTTTATGATTTAAATGTTGATAAAATTGGTAAGCTTGCAGAATAGAAATATAATATTGCATTTAATTAAAGAGATCCAATTATTTTAGTTGGTGATACTCATAGTGGTATAACACTACTTAAATTAAGTCGAAATCTTACAAAATGTAAATAATATAAATTTAAAATTTTAGTTGGTATAAAAGCATCTAATTTTCCAGATGGAAAAGTTCCAAAAGAATTAGAAAATATGTCAATTAAAGAATATGAAAAATAGAAGATGGAAAATCTATTATAAGTTGTTTCAAAATGGGAGAGAGAGGATTATTGAAATAACAAATTTTATGGATAAAAATATTATAAAAAAATACATTAATTTTTAATGCACAATTACCAAGATAATAATTAAAAACTCTTTTATTAATTATGGGAAACTGGTAACAAAATATTGTGTTAAGGAAAGTTGTTAGTTGGGTAAATACTAATTTTATCAAAAGTTCTGAAAATCATAAATTTATTGCATCTCTTATACTAATTACAATACCAACAGTTTTATATTATGTGTTTATGGCACCGGTACTATAATATATTTACTTAGGCATTGGTTCAAAGTGATAAAGTTATTTAGGTGATTATTTTTATAATTCTGAATTGCTTAGTTTATATTTTCATTACTATTACAGTTCTAATGGATCCAGGTATTATCCCTAAAATAGTATTTATTTAAATATTAAAAGACTACAAATTATGAAATGGATGAATAGCTAATTTTAATTCCTTAAAAATATTTAAAAGTTGATCCTAAAGTATTATTTGAATCAAAAACATTATAAATGAGTGGACATCAATTTAAATTGAAGTTTTGTAACACTTGTAATAATTATATTAATAATTTACAGGTGCTATATATAGACCACCTCGTGCTTCACATTGTCCTGCATGTGATAATTGTGTATTGAGATTTGATCATCATTGTCCTTGGATAGGAGCTTGTGTTGGAAGAAGGAACTATATTTATTTTTATCTATTTATCTTCTTTCTTTCTGCTACAATGATATATGTATTTTCTACATGTGTTGCATATATCTTTGGAGATATAGATGATGATAAGGATAAAAGTGAATAGATAATCTCAACATTATCAAGAAATCCATATTCATTAGCCTTAGCAATTTATTGTTTTGTAGTAAATTTATAAGAATTAACCAGTTTTCATTTTTTGTTGTCGGTTTATGGGGATTCCATACTTTTTTAGTTATTACTAATATGACTACAAATGAATATTTAAAGAAACATTGGATTATTTAAAGTAAAAATCCATTTAGAAGGTAATGATAATTTTAATACAATAGAAAAAACATCTTTAAAAATATTTAATATGTCTTAGCTTGTATTAGAGATGTCAAATTTTTAGAGCTTCGTTAATTTGTATACGATCCAAAAAGTTATAATTAAGTATTATGAATTTATTCAACAAGCCTATGACATAAAATCAAATCAATGAAAATGAAAATTTAAATCCAATTGAAGATAATCAAAACAATATTCCTAGAAGATAGTCTAAGTAAACTGTTGATCATGTAGAAGAGCAATGAATATTCAAATTCTTTATATTTTTTATTCATTTAAAACAATTCTTTTTATTGAATTAAATTATAAGAAACCATTATTTATAAATTATATTTAATATTCGAGTAAATTGATAAATAAGTGAATTCTATCATTTATATATTCATGGTATTGAAGGTAATTTATAATGTAGCAATGCTTATTATTGTTGAGTAGGAATTTAACCATTAAATGATTATTTATACTTTTTTATAACAATGTCAAGTCTTCTTCTATGATTTTCAGTTGCTGTCAATCGAAATAATTTCTCTTATGATTTGAAATCCTAACTTTACACTTGTTAATACCTTTGCAATTTTAGGATCTATTTGATCATTATACTATGAAAATTCAAGCGGTTATACTTTTTTTAATGTCCATTTTGGACTTAAATTCGAACTTCTTTCAGTTATTTGAACTCCAAATTATTTAGCTAAAATTTACTAAGCCCAATCAGATCCATAGGGATCTTTTTTCTAAGGATGATTAACTGTAGACTATTTTATTTAAAGAAAAATAACTTCTATTCAATCTCTCTTTTGGTTTCTATATTTTCTCTAATTACTCTGTTTTTAAATTTTATGATTAAATTTCTTGATTCTCTTAAGACCAATAATCCAAAATGGATAATGGCTCACAAAATTCTACCTTAAATTAAGAACTTTAATAAAAAATTCCATCCTTTTGTTGTTTCATAATTTATTTTATTAAATTACTTTGATGAAATCTAATAATCTTTTGATAGAGTTGAAATATATTCTATAATTTTATTGTCATATAAAATAATCATTATACAAAATATACTATATTATTAGAATAAAGTATTGTTCTATGTAATATAATTAGAATTAACTTAAAAAATAGAATTATCTGAAGTTTCTTAAATATATATAATTTTATCTATTTAAGAAACTTCTTCTTCTTTATAAACTCTCTTAGATGATATTATGTTTGAAATTCAAAATTTATTATAAATTACTAATGAAAAACTTATATTTGTTTTATACTTTGATTGATCTATCTTAGTTAATCAAAATAATTAATATGTAGTATTTAATTAACTTACCTTATTTTTGTGAAAATTTTCATTTAACTCAAGTTGAAAATATTTTAATTATTTTCAAAGTATTCATTACATTTTCTTTAACCAAATATTTTAGATATCTTTCTTGAATATAAGAGATGCCTTTTTGAATTAATAATATTAAAATACTCTAGGTTTCCTTATATAAAATTAGTAATATCATAATTGTATTCATCTTCAAATTCTACATTCATTCATTGTTTCTAATTTAAATAGTTCCTCTTTAAAATTGTCTCTTAATTTATGTACTTTAAAGTTTATTATTTTTATGGCGGTTTTTGGATTCTAATATGTAAATATTTTGAATTACATTTTCCCTAATAGAACTAAAGTAAATATAGTATAAATTAAATTATACTTATAAAATTAAGCATGTATTTAAATAAAATATGTTCAATTATTCAACATCCTATTTTGCTAATTCAAATGAAAAAAACAATTAGTTGAAAGAGAAAATCTATAGTGCTCTTTATTCATCTCCTAACACATCTTAGTAAAATTTTGTTTTATCCTAATTAGTGATGTTATGAAGTGGATTCCGAGCAATGATATTTCAAATCTCTCTGTGTCTATTGAATAAGATATTGATAAAATTTTATAGATAGTACCTCCCTTTTAATTTTAAACTAATAAACAGATCTCCTTCTAAAATTTGTAAACTTAACAATGTGTTGATCATTAACTTCAAACAATTTTAAATTCATCATAAAAAATCTATTCATAAAATAATTGTGAAGTTGAAGAAAAGCCAATTGAATAATCTTAAAAGGAATGTAATTCAAAACTAATTAGAAGAGAACAATAACCTCAATCGAAGTAGAATTAATACATTTAGGATTTGATTATGAGATATTAAGAACCTCCTAAAAATGCTTTTTAAGAAGATTAAAATAATCCATCTAGCAATATTGAGGAGGAGTATGATGTCAATACTAAATAGTCAGTCACAAATCGAGATTCTAGAGAAAATGGGTGTTTAATTAATAAAGATAAATATAAAAATAATGAACTTTCTAAATTAACTGAACAATAAACATGTTTAAATTAAAGCGTTGGTAATTCTTTTATTTTAGATACATTAATAAATGAAGAAACAATCAAATAAACTATTTCAGTTGAAGTTGAGAGTTAAACTTTTAATACAAATTAAAATTGGGCAAAAATGAAGATAAGAAAAGAAGCTAAATAAAATGAAAATTACAAAACATAAAATTTTTAAGATCTTTTGTATTCATTACCATCTTTCTTTATTCATTAAACTGAGGGTGAAATAAAAGTTGATAAATTAAGAGCTTAAGAAAATTAGGAAGGATATTATTATCAATAATTTGAGCTTACTGTAAATCCATATAAATTGATTGGACCCATTAATTTTAAAAAGCATCTTAAAATTGTATTTTTATATAATATCATAAATAGCATGTAAGATTTAAGAAGGGTTACTATGGTGTAGTTTATTATGATAAACTTTTGTAAAATGTAATTCCATAAAATTAAGTTGATGGTATAACACTAAAAAATGAACCATTTTTATTAGCAAACAATTCTGACAAACCTATTAAAGTGATTTGCTGTATTGTTGGAATTAAAAAATGACATTTATTAAATTTATAACTAAATTGATTAAGCTTTATTAAATAAGCTTTATTAAATATTAGCCATTCATATTATAAATTTTACTAAATCATAAATATACTTTTCCAAATATTAATCTACATATAGTAATATAATTCAATTTCAAATTCATTAAAGAATGTTTAGTAATAAATTCAAAAAATCAATTTTGATCTAAAAAGCTTCAATTTAAAATTTTATAAGCCAAAATTATCTCTTATAATTGTAGAATTTGTTATAATTATATGATTTCTTTTGAATTCAATTAATTATTTGAAATAGATAAAAAAGTCTTTTGAATGATTATAAATATGGAAACTTAAACCAAAAGATTAATATGTTAGTGTAAAACGGATTTTATTATTAATTATAATATAAATGTAAAAAACTTTGTTTCTTATATTGATGGTTTTGAGTTGTATGGCAACTGAATTTAATGATCAAATTGCTGAACTTGAGGAAAGTTAATTTGGATAAACTATCTTATAAACAATTTAGATGGAAATGTAAACAGATGATCCAGTTGTTTCTAATTTGATAGATATAATGCAGAATTTACAATAAACATTAGAAAGTGAGTAAAAAAGAGATGATGATAGGATTGTCAGATTCAAATAAAACTGTGATATTGCTTTAAGCTAATTAACAGAGATTATAAATACAAGCACAGTCTCATCACTTACATTAAAGAGTGATTTAGACTCATTAAATCCTTAAAAAGTCTAAGCTGTAGCTAGTTTGGAAAGAAAAAACTTAGAGATTGCAGATTTAAAGGCAGAATTAGATTACTAAACATTGAAAAGATAAAAGGAATCAGCTACTTATTAAACTATATTGGATAATTTAGAATAAGCACTTTTTGGAGTGAATTAAGTTAAAGGATATTTCAATAAATATTTAGATGTTTTAGTAAAGAACAGAAATAGATTCTAATAACCATAACCTTCATTTTTATAAGAAGATATGAGTTTTTAATATAATGATGATGAAATGGATGAAGATATTGAAACAAAGAGTATATCCTCTTTTGCTTAAGTAGCTTAAAAAGTTAATAAATTAAAACATCATGTAAAAATATTAATTAATTTACAGGTTCATTTGGAAGGTTACAAATCTATGATTGAAATCTTAAGTTAATTAGCTAGTTAAGCTTAAACTTCAGCTGATGAACCAAGTTAATGTGAAGTTTTAACAAGAAAAGTTTTATCAATTCTTAAATAAATTGAAAGTTATATATAATCAGAAAGAATTAGAGAAGATTAAGCTGAAAATTTGAGATAAAGCTCTTTTGAAGACTTAAGAACTTTGTTATCTGATCAATTAGTAAAAGCTAATCAAGATAAAACTTATATGGAAGGTAAATTCAGTATAATCTTTAGGATTAATTGATTCATTATCAAATAGAATTCAATAAGCTAAAAATGAGAAATTTGAAGTTGATTAAAAGATTACAACAAAATCAAAAGAAAAAGAAAATAGAGAAAATGATTGTAGATTAAAGAGATAAGAATATGAAACAGATACTGCAAGCAGGTTCTATTATGATCCTATTTATTTAGAATTAAATAAAAGAGATCTGTAGCAATTGCTGTTGATCTAATTTCCTCTAAATTAGGTTAACTTAAGAGGAAATTATTGGAAAATTGATATGAAATATCATAAAATAATTATCATCTAATTTTCTTTTATTTAAATAAAAAATTCATTATTTTTTAGTTTAAATTATAAATTTTATTAATGGATTAAGAATTAATTATCAGTCCAAATGATAAAAGATAATATTCTTTAATAACACTTCCAAATTAATTAGAATGCTTAATAATATCAGATCCAAACACTAAAATATCTGGAGCATGTTTAGAAATATGTGTAGGATGGGTAAATAATTAATATAAATATTAGCTTGATGATCCAAAAGAATATTAAGGTATTGCTCATTTTTGTGAGCATATGCTTTTTATGGGATCTGAAAAATATCCAACTTAAAATGATTATACTTCCTTTATTTAATTACATTCAGGATCATATAATGCATCAACTTGGCTTCAAAGTAGCAATATTTTATATAAAAAATATAGGAACAAAATACCATTTTAGTATAGAAAATGATGCTTTTGTAGGAGGTTTAGATAGATTTGCATAATTTTTTATATGTCCACTTTTTGATAGTAGTTGTATTGAAAGAGAAATGAATGCTGTAGAAAGTGAATTCAATTTATCTTTAGCTGATGATTAATCAAGATTATGGGAGTAATAAATAATTAATAATTATTTAGAATTTTTGTTCAATAAAGTGATCCATAATCTACCTTTAATCGTTTTGGTTGTGGTAATCTACTTACATTAAACAAACCTGAAATTAGAGATTAATTGCTATAATTTTATGATAAATATTATTGTTCATCTTTAATGAAATTAGTTGTTTATACAGATAAAAGCACATAAGAATTAGGATAAATGTATAATATATTATTAATAATAGAGTTCATGATATTTTTTCTTTGGTTCCTAATAAAGGTCGAAAGAGACCATTACATCTAGATAATCCTTTCAAAGGATAATTTTCTTAAGTTGATGTAGTTGGAATCAAATAGGAAGATTATCTATTTTTAAATTTTGTGATTCCTAATTATGAAAAAAAATATTTGGGTTAACCTGAAAGTTATATTACTCATGTTTTAGGACATGAAGGATAAAATTCATTAGCTTCATTTCTCAAAGATGAAGGTCTTGTCACTGAATTAATAGTTGGATCACAAAGACTAAATGATTAAGTTAGTGAGATATATTTTGAAATTTCTTTGACAGAAGAAGGATTTGATAATTATGAAAAAGTCATAGGTTTTGTGTTTTAATAGATTGATAAAATTAAAGAAAAAGGAGTTAAAAAGGAAATATTTGATGAAATTGCTTAAATTAAACATCTTGAATTTAAATTTAAGGAAAATTCATCCTCTGTTTTAGAATACATAGAAAAACTTAGTGAAAACATGCATAAATATCCTAAAAATCATATAATTTATGGAGACTATGCTTATGAATAATTTGATCCTGAATCTGTTAATGAAATTCTTGGTTATTTGAATCCAAATAATATGATTATTTTCCTTAGAAGTCCAAGCTTGTATATATATATATTAATAATTTTTATAGTGCTGAAGATAAAGATGATGAAGATTTTATGTAAGAAACATATTGTAAAACTAAATACAGAAAATAATAAATTTCAAATGAGATCTTTTAGATTATTAAAAATTCTAATAATCTTAAAGCAGAAAAAACTCATAAAATAATTGATATTTTCCCTCCTAACATATATATTCCATAAAATTTTGATGTCATTTAAGAGAAAGATGAAAATTAATATCCTATTAAAATCTTCGAAAATGATTATATTAGATGTTTCCATTTGAAGGACAATTAATTTCCTATATGTAAGGGTTCTTTTGGAATTTAATTGTTTCCAAATTAAGATTTTGTGATTGATTAAAATGAAAGGGTATTATTTGATCTATGGTCAAATATATTCTATTCATAATTTGAAGAAACCCTTTACAATGCAGAGTGTGCAGGACTCTCATATAATTTAGATTCAGCATATAATTTTGTTGCTTTCAAAGTACATGGATTTAATGATAGCATATTTAAATTTTACAAAGATTTTATTCAATATTTATTAGATTTTCACAAATAACCTAAAAAATATGTTAAAAAACATATATTTTAAGTTTAAATTGATGATTTGTAAGATAGATATGAAAATTATTTTATGAAAAGTCCATATGATTTAAATGCTAGTTATTGGAAATGCTTGATTTATAAATCAGGTAAATTTATGAAAGAATAATTAAGAGAAGTTGAAATAAAAATGAATGATTTCATATAATTCACTGAAAAATTATTCAAAACTATAAGAATGCAAATATATTTTCATGGTAATATCTCTAAAGATACAGCCTTGAATTTATGTTAATTAACTAATTAAATATTTTCAGAATTTTCAGAACCCAATAAATAAATTCAACCTTTATAAATAATAAAGATACAAAAAAATTAAACTTTTATATTTGAAAAATTAATCACAGAAAATCCTGAAGAACCTAATTCAGGTTTAAGAATATCATATTAAGGCGATTAATCACTTGATCCTACTCTAAATTTATACTTTGATTTACTTAATTCTATAATTTCTGATCCATTCGAAAATTAGCTTAGAACTAATGAATAACTTGGATATGTTGTCTATACAACAAAAAGTAATAGAAGAGGAATACATTTCTTTAATTTTATTATCATTTCAGAAACTAAATCAACCAAATAAATTGCAAATCGTATAGATATTTTTCTATAATCCTTTTTAGCTCAAGAATTAGCTTAAGTATTTTATTAAAATTAACATTTAGCTTAAAGAAGATTAATTTGAAAAGGTCAAATTAAGTTATTATAAAGATTAATCATAAGATTATTAAAATTTGAATGAAAAATTTAAAGATTTTTGGAATGAAATTTTAATTAATTAAAATGATTTTGATAAGAGTATAATATTTTTTAATATATATTAGAATAAAAACTAAAAGAGAGAATAGATTCAATAACTCATGAAAAATTCTTAAATTTTGCTCATAATTTATTTAAGGACTCAAAAAGATTAGAAATTCATATAATAAATTAAAAGCATTTAGATTGGGAATTAGAACATTAAGAAAAAATTACTGAATGTGAATGGCACAATGATTTATTTTAATTGAATTGAGTAATTAAAATTTTATAATAATATTGGACCAATTTATATATTAGATTTTTATATTTATTTAAATAAATACTATGGTAATTATACAAAAACATTGAAGATTAATTAATTTTAATTAAAACGAATTCTTATAAGTTTAGATATTATAATTTTTATTTCATAATTTTGATTTATTAATAAGGTGTTGCTTATTTTCAAATAGTATATTTAAATTCGAAAACTAATTATTAGAAACATTGTTAGGCAAAAGCATAATTAATTCGTTTGTTTTAGGATAATTCCATACTTTTAATGGATATTAAATTTATTAAATTGATATTAATTCTTAATTATTTTTTTTTCTAGAGTTTTCAAATTGATAAATTTCATTTATTTTATGTTCAAGTTACTCTATCCAATTAAAACTTTTTATTTCACTATTTTTCAATAAGATTTTACTTACTTTTCCAAAATGCTATTTATAATCAACTAAAATTTTAAGCCGCTTTAAAGGTCGAGATATAAGTATTTAGGCTATATAATTCATTACTACTAATGTGAATAATGATCCAATACTATAATATAATTAATAAATCAATTATTGAGAAACTGTAAATTACATTTAACTAATAAGTTAATTTAATTTTTCTTAATAAACATTTTCTTCAATTTATAAAATAAGTATTTGTTATTTTATTTATTAAGTTCTTATGAGTTAATGAGATGTTTCATTTATTTCAATACAAAGTGTTTACTTTAATTCTGGTAAACATTATGTTTTGTAATCTTTTTAAATTGTATATTTTAATATTTCTTAAAAGTTGGATTCATTTAAACCTGTTAAACTTTAATTTTAAATAAATTTAAACTCTAATGAGAAATTCTTATAATAAGAACTAATAAGGAGTCGTCCGACCATATCAATTAATGATATTTTAATTCCATCAATTTAAAAGTTAAAGACAGAAAAAGAACTCATATTGTAATCATGACCAATAACTCCTTTTTATATAAAGTTTTAATCTTTTAATGTAGTAGTTTCAGTAAACATTACTCCACTAAACATTGAAATATATGGATCACTTAATACATATAAACTTTTATTTTAATTAAGTTAATGATTCTAATACCAAGGTCTAGAATGTGGATAATAATTTTTTAATATAAATGTTGGAAAAATAGAAAAATATTAATCGTCTTAATTTGAAACAAAATAAAGTTTTTCAACAGGTATTTAATGTTTTAAAGAATCTAATAAATTTGTTAATGTTAAATAATCACTAATATTAGATTAACTTGATTAGTTAGGTATTAAATAGCAAAATTAATTAGTTTCTTTTTTAAAATATTCACAAATTCCACTGTTTTCTTTTGAATAAATGTTATACTTTTGCATAATTAAAAAAATTTCTTATATTGATCTTATAGATTATTAGCTTTAATAGTTTACATATTCTATGCTTCTAGCATATTATGCCAAAGCTTCTGTAGTTAAAATTTCAATTTTCTATAAAAGCATTTTTTTTTAGTCTTATTCTTATTATTTTATTAACAAATTTTGAACAAATAACAAATATCCAGCTACTAAAGCAGCCACAAGCAAATTAGCAATAATTTGTAAAATTAATATTTGTGATTTTATTTTCCATTACCTCATTAGTCCAATTTATTAATAAAATTAATTAAATTATGGATATATGATATAGGATACAAAGGTATAAATTATTATTTTCACAAAAAAGAGAGAATAACATAATTTTATTCAATTTTAAAGGTTTAAAAGAATCATAATATAAAGAACGTATTAGCTGTTTCTTTTTTATTATAAAAAGTCATTTATACAAAAATAATAAGTAAATTATAAAAGGTTAAACAATAATTATAATAAATTTCTATAATATGTTTTTTATTTATATTATTCTTTTATTTTTTTACATTATTTTAAGTTAGAAAAGATAAAATTATGTTGGAGTAAGGATAAGGTATTTTGATATTATTTGTTTAATTAAGGAAAATTTTGGAAAATTTTGGAAAATTTTAGAACAAATATGCTGATAAATGTAAATACTATATCAAATATATTTTTCTAAGAAATTAAATTCCATTCACAAAAAATATTTCTTTATTTAATAGAAATAATATGATTTAAAAGATTAGATTTATTATTTAATTGATAATCTATCTAATTAAACTATACCATAATTGCATCGAAATAAAGTTATTTTTTCATATTCATTCTTATTTGAATTTATATATAAATTTAATAAATTCTTTCCTATTAAAATTAGTTTTTAATCTATAATATCAAATTTAAGATACTAATTAATTTAAAAAAAACTACTATTATTTATTCAATCTTAAAATCATTATTAAAATTTAGAAAACTGAATTGTTATTTAATAAAATAAGTGTTTAAAAATAGATTTACCTAAGCCCATAAAAATATTTTATAAATGAATATATTAGTATATTATTTATGTTCTCATTATAATTATTCATTTTAATATAGAATCTGAGACTATTCAGATGATTTAATTTAGAATATAATATATTAGGATGAAATTTTATTGAAAAATTTTAATCCTAAGTTAATTTTTTCTAGTCATCGAAATAACTCAAAAGTAACCCATACTTGTACACATTTTTCATAAATAAATTTCTTGTACCTAACTTAAAAATTTAGAGGTTTCATTTTTTTTAATTTAGTATAAGATTTTTAAAGGGAATAATAGATAAACTTAACTTTAGAAATGTATAAATATATGTTAAAACTAATGCTGTTTTTTTCTATTTAAGATATTTTTTAGGAAAAAAGTAATTATTCTTTATTATTTGATTTATGGTTTTGAAAAAATAATTAGCTCCTTTTAAAGTAAAATTATCAATGATAATATTACTAATATTTCATTTCATTAGATAACTGATATCTTATTATCAACAAAGGGATCAATTTATCATATTTATGATGTCGAATTATTTATTCCAAATTGCATTAGAATTCTTATTACTTTGTAAGACGAAAATTTGTTAAAAGAATGTATAATTTGTATTAATATTGATTAATATTATTCTCTTTTAAATAGAATCAATTAAATATGACTTTGAGAATTTGGAACCTAATTATTTGTTTATTATAATAATATTCTTACTGGATGACGGTTAAGCTTAAAATACTAAAAAAAAAATTGGGTAAGTGATGAAAAAAGGGCTATTATTAATTATATTTCTAAGCTTTCCTTATTTAAAATAAGATTCTGAAGAAAACAGAATAATTAGTTATTATTTTAGAATTATTAATTAAAAATTAAATGTAGCACTTTCTATTTATTTATTATCTGAGATAAAAGGACTTATAATTTAAGAATAAAAATTGAATTGTTTATCCATTATTGATGAAAAAATTGTATAAAAATAATAAGAAATATAGTAATAAAAAGAAGATCAAAATAAAATAACTAAAAAATACTCATTTTAGGAATTTAGTGAGATGATAACAGAAAGGAAATTAACATTTTAAAAATATTAATCTTAATTTTAAATAGATTAAAATATATTATTGGATAGTTTATCAGAAGCAGTAATTATTATTAAGTTTGAAAAATAAGAAGATTCCAGTTATAAACCAAAAGTTGATTATTAAAATTAAATAAGCAAAGTTATGTTTTAGAAAAGCAATTAAGATTTAATAGTATTTTTTGAAAAAATTTCAAGTGAGGTATTAAGTGATGATTCACCAATTAATCCTAGAAGTTCTTTATTATCATTTTAAAGTCTTGCCTAATAATAATTTAAAAATATGAAAAGATCAAATAAATTTAATCCATAATAATACTTTGTAACAGAGATTAAATAAAATATAAAATCTGGAGAATAATCTCTATCACCTAGATTGAGATCATTAACTATTTAAGTAATATATATATAATAAATTAGTTAAATACAGTTTATAAATGTTTGTTCTATGTTTACAATACTAAGAAAATACGATTTGAAATAAATGGTAAAGTTGATGCTTTGATAATTGAAACAAATTTTGAGATTGATGGCATAAAAAAAACTGTAGAAATCATAATTACAATGGGAGGTGAAGATTAAATTCTTATGATTGCTAGGGATGTAATGCATAGAAAAAACATAAAGGAATTATTTGAAATAAATTAATCTAAATCTAAAATATTATCTTTTGTAAGTCATGAATTTAGATCTCCATTAAATGTGATGATAAATGTACTCTAAAATATTAATTAAGATAAAAGTCTTAGTGAATCTTTATTGTAAAATCTTACTATACTTTTAGAGAATTCGTTTTATATGTTAAATTTATCAAATGATTTGCTTGATTTAGCATAAATAAAAAATGAAACTTTTAGTTTAAATTTAAAAACAATAGATATTATATAATTAGGAGAAGAATGCTTAAAAATGTTTTAATTATAAGCAGAATAAAAAAAATTATAATTAGCTTTAAAAACTAATATTAAACCATTATATGTTTATACTGATAGAAATCGATTGAAATAAATAATCATAAATCTAATAGCAAATGCTATGAAATTCACATTAAAAGGAAATATTACAATTAAAATTTAATAAAAAGGATTATTAGTAGATATTGGAGTTGAAGATACTGGATTAGGAATATCATAATAAGATCAATCTAAATTATTTAAAGCCTTTGGTAAACTTAAAGATGGTGAACATTAAAAATTAAATGAATAAGGAGTTGGATTAGGACTAGTAATTAGTAATAAAATAGCATAATAATTATCATTTGATGGTTAAGGATTATAAGTAATTTCTAAAGATATAACTTAATAAGATCATGGATCATACTTTTATTTTACTTAAAAAATTAAATATTTTCATTCAAAAACCAATTTGTAATAGGTTTAGCAAGTTTAAATAAATGATAAAGAACTACCATAATCAAATTAATAAATATTATTTTAAAAATTAACAACCTTTAATAAAGAATCTTAATCTTTTGCTGAAGTTGAAAAATATGTTGTAAAAAGTATTTGTAAACATATATTAATTGTTGATGATAACATATTTAATTAAGCAATTTTAGAAATGCATATTAAATAATTGTAAATATATATAATTTTTATGATAGTACAAATTCATAAATTGATAAAAATAGTAGTGGAATAGAAGCAATCGAATCTGTGAAATCTAAGAAATGTAATAAAAATTGTTTAGGATATTAAGCTATATTTATGGATATGGAAATGCCTGGTTTAAATGGAATATAGGCATCTACTTAAATTTTATAAATTGATCAAAATATTAAAATCTTCATAGTTTCTGGATATGATAAATCTCAAATTAATGAAGAAGTCAATACAATAGCTATTAAAGATTATATCGTAAAACCAATTTGTAAAGAAGTCATTTAAAAAATAATATTAGAAAATCATTTATGAATTTAAACAAGCAAGTGAAAATTTATAGTATTTATCAAACTTTATTTTTTAAATTTCTGGCTAACATCTCTTATTCTTTATATTTATTAATTCTTCTTCTTAATTCATCCTACTTCTGATCAGTAACCTTTTCCTTAAATAATTCAGGATACACTATTATTATTTAATTATTATACATTACATAATTTTGCTATCATTTTATCTTCTTTTACAAAATCAGATGTAGTTTTTAATTATAGTGGAAATCTACCTTTAGTATTTATTGATTATTTTTATGGGGTTGGTAACTAATATTCATAAATATAATACTTTAAACATTTCAAGTTATTGTTCTTCCTCTTTCAATATTTATTCAAATTCTTTTATAGATCTGCAATTCAAATTAGACTTTGGAGGTTTGTTAAAACTTCTATAATCGTATGATTTTGAATCAAATAAATTACTCATGTCTTTATAATGTTATTCATTGTTTAAATCTAAATTCTAAGCATTCTATATAGATTAAATTTGTTCTGGCTCAAGAAGACTTTGATAATTAGAAATACCAGTTGTTATTTTCATTTAAGGTTAATTCTTAGAAAATGAAACTGGAAATACAAATTATTTTTCTCTATATGTTTATGACATAAATGATTTATTTGTTGTTGTGAAATGTTCTAAATTAGGAAGTTATTTAGGTCTTGGACATTGAGAATACCATAAAAATTTATTCCCCTTTGGAGTGTAGTAAGTAAATCTTGATTATAATGATTTTGCTTTAGCCGGTAAATAAGAAGGCTTAAGAGCCAACTTTAATCTTTATTTAAACCCAACACGTCCTGTCAAAGAAGGATCAAATTCTTTAATATAATCTCCTGTTTTGTAAACTCTTTACTTTTCTCCAGTCTGATTGTTAATTAGGTAATAATTATTTGTTTCTTAATCATTCCAAAATGAGATCATTTTTGTCTAATAAAAATTATATTATAATCATTTAGTAAAAGCAATTTAGTGATCATCTTTTTCTTAACCACTTTATTCCTCTTAATCCAAAGAAAAATGGGTTAATGGACTAAGTTCTTCCAAAATTTAATTTTAATTCTGTATTAAAGTACAATCAACTTTTGGACCATATAGAGGAGTTCGAGTAACAATAGATAACTTCTTGCTCTCTTAACGTAATAATTATTAATTAGGACTATTATAATCTTAAAGATATTGATTAAAGGAATCTTTATTAGGACTTTCTTCAATTTAGAAAGTATTGAATTAAGCTATTTTCTATTATGATTGTTATTATTCATTATTTTAAAAGAAAGGATGTTACAGACATTAAATAGAAGTAAAACGTTATTAAAAATTATGGGCTATCATATTTAATCTACATTTAATATCAATATATTTACAATAAATCTTTAGCATAATAGTCTAATTGTTAATATTTTGGTTTTGAAAAATCAACCTAAAATTCTTTATTCATTTTTAAAATCTCTTAATAATCATTTCCTATAAATAAACCTTATCCCAATAATAAAATATGAAATATAACTCCTGCTGAAAATATATCGCACGCAGATGTGTATGACTAAGTTTTATCAATCATATTTGCAATTTCAGGAGCAACAAATCCTGGTGTGCCACATTTTGGATATAAATAAGGAAAAGCATCAATTTCTACTGAAAGACCAAAATCTGCTATTGCTAAAGAATTTAGATTCCCTTTTTCTTTAAATAAAATATTCTCTGGTTTTAAATCTCTATGCATAATTCGTTTAGAATGTATATAATGTAATCCTGATAAAATTTAATACATTATCTTTTATAATTATAAATTATTTACTTTCTGAATTTCTACTCTACTATAAAGATTAATCCTATTTTTCATTTCCTTATATAAACTTCCACCTTAAGCTAGATCCATAATAAGGTATATATTATTGTCTCCTTCATATACTTCAATGAGATTTATTAGTGATTTGTGTGGACTTAATATTCTCATTATTTTTATTTCATTAATGACTGATTACTTAATATAACACCTTTTAAATACTTCTCCTAATTCTATAGTCTTCACTTTATTTAGGTCAATGCACTTGGTTGCAAATCTTTAATTTGAATGTAAATGCTGTAATTCAAGAATCTAATTTAACAATCAACTGTAATATACTAATGCATAATTTCCTTGTCCAATCACTTGCTAAGCGATATATTCTTCTTAAACTTTTGCTTAAAAGAAGAGTTTAGAAACATTTTATTTTAATCCACGAAGTATTTCATCTTATCCAAAATATTCAAATTACAATTCCCCACAATCAAATATCAATCCCTTCAATTTAGAAGGTGTATCATTTGTATATCTCCAAATTAATCTTTTTGTATTAGTGTTAGAAAATATCCGATCAGCTTTTTTTTTATTGGAATCCTATTAGTATAAATTTTTCTGATTTATACTTTATTTACAATCACATGGTCAGGAAAGACATAGAAATAACGAGTAGATGAACCAAGGAACAATTTTTTGAATAGACAACATTGATATAATTCATCACAAGATTTAGGAAACATTATAATTAATGATTATGTCTTAGATAGATGCAGCCAACAATGATAATTCTTCCTGTTTAATCTAAAGAAGTTCTTCATAAGTTCTCTTAGTGATTTCTAATTATTTATTCATTAATGATGATTAATTTATTGGTACCTTCTTTTTCTTCTTAATTCTAAGTTATTCCTCAGTTTTTTGTAACTTTTGTAATGTTTCTTCCAATTATTCTTTAATTTATGGATATTCCACTAATTATTTATCTTAAATTGCTATTTTTTGTACTGATTACTCAAATTAACTTCTAATTACATTATTATCCTAAAATGAATATAATAATATATTACTTCAATTAAATTCAGTACTTTATCTTTTGCCTCTAATAATTCTTATTCATATTTATGTTATTCAATAAAGAATTATTCTAATTTAATTTATAATTCCTTCATTTCTTTTTGTAATTAATTTTATTTCTCTTCATATAATGCTCTCTCTGCTAATAAGTCAGAACATTATGTTTTCCAGAAAGATAATTAAGATGACAATATTTCTTCATCAAAACTTGTATCCTATTTTTTAATAAAATTAGAACATTCATATTTTTCATCAGTTTATGTGTGTACATCTAATTTCAATTTTTGATCTCCTTCTATTAAATAATTAGATTTTGTTATTAATTAAGACAATTCTAAACCTAGATTTCTTTTTGGAGTGAATATTCCACTGAAATTTCTTCTTTCTTCCCCATCATTTAAGGAATGCAACATAACAGAACTATTTTCTAATTAGGATTATTCTGTTTTATTATGAATATTGTGTTCTAGATCTATAATTTCTTATTTTAATCTAAATATTTCTTATTCTCTTAATTTCAATTATCTACTTAAAGATTCATTCTCTGATCTAGCTTTGGAAATATCAAATTCCTATTAGCTTGATATTTTTTAATTTTATTTTTGTAACTACTTTTGTTAATCTAATTTTTATTATAGTTAATTAACTTTATTAGTTAATTCAATATTTTCTTCCTTTAATTTTGAATTTTATTTTAAATTTTCCTTATTTTTATTTTATTCTTAAAGAGAATCAGATAATTAAGTTTTAAGTTATTCACAATATTTTTCTAATTTTTACATTTATGTATATTTTCTATATCCTGCTTCCAATTTACTCCTTAAATCTCTTACTATCTCTTCATGAACATCTTTTTCTTATTATTAATCATTTTTTAAAGTCTCTATAATTAATTACATTCCTTTTATATCATCAATTCTATTATGAATATACTCACAAACCTCATTAACAGAATTTGTTTATGTAACTTCATAAATTTGATTTAAATCATCATTTAAAGAATTTATTGTTTTCTATCGTAATTCTAAATCTGCTTGAACAATTTCAATATCTTCTTGCATCTTTTTTTTCTCCATTTCATATTATTCTTTAAAAAGTATTAATTCTTAATTCAATTTCTAATTTTCATATTCTAATTCCTCAAATTTTCTTAATACTTCATCAGATATCTTAGATTCTTGATCCAATGATATTTAAGATTATTCTTCTTAAATTAATTTTAATAGAATCATTTAAGTTTCTTAATCCAATTACATCATAGGAGTTACCAATTCACTTGAATATGAAGAGTTAATTAATGCTTATATAAGACTCACTATCTAATATGTAATAATTTATTTATACCATCTCTAAAATACACTATTCATTTCTATTTTTAACAACTTAAAGAAAATTTGGTTTTTATTAAAGTTTAAGTTTGCTTTCAAATGCATTCCATAATTCCTTCATTACTTTCATTTACATTTCCCAATTTTCACTTTATTCCAATTAAATTTCAATTTCAAAACTTAATTTAGATAATTTGCTAATACATGTGATATAGCATTTATTATAGAGCAACACCTGAACTAAAATCTGATATATGATTCAGCTTAGGTTCAATAAATTAAAAAGAGTTGATCTATTTAAAATATTATACTTACTAAATTTAAAATAGATGAAATTTGCTTGTGATTTTTACTATTCATATAATATAATTATTGAATTTATTAAAATTAATATATATATTATAATATCAATTAAGGAAAAGTTAAGGGCTTTTATTATAATTATAACATTTTTTAGTATTTTTTCATTGATCTATACAGCCTGCAAAATAAATATAAATATTGATTTATTATAATATCTTCTATTAAAAACAATTTTTACTTGAAACTTTGATCAATTATTTTTGATAACTTCGTTTCTATAGTATTGATTAACAATATGAATATTCTTTATGATAAAAATTAGAATTCAAAAAATCAATTACTTAAATTTTTGAATCTCTAAATGAATTAAGACTATATATAAATATAAGCTTTTATTTATTTTATTTTTTGACATTTGATAATTTTTAATAAGTATTTTCTGAATGCTATCCTAAAGCATATTCATTTTTATTAATATCTACAAAATTTGGTAATGTAAAAATAGAAAATTATTTTAGAGAGTTGAATGTTCTTAAGGTTATTTTAATTCAAATTCAAAATGTGATAAAGTACAAATAAAAATGTTTATTAAGAGTTTTCATTCATAATTTGAAAATAACAGATATTTGTTAAAAAATATAATAAAAATCAAGAATAATAAGTTTATGATCAAGAATACTCTTTCAATTAACTTTAAAAATGAAATTATGAATAAATTATAATAATTTATTTAATTTTTAATTTTTTGAATTTAAATAATTACAAACGTTAATAATTAAAAACAAATTGTATTATAATAATAATTTTAGTTGTCTTGTTTAGTTTAACGTATACAGTCTCTTTTTCATTTATAAATTATATAATTAACACAAATATTATAATTCATTCATACAAATTAATTTTATTAACATTTGTATTTGTAAACTTCAAGAAAGAATAAAATATTAATTTAAAATATAATTCTGTAAAAATACATTATCAAATCATGCAATTAAGGCTAAGAGGACAAATGCTCCCAAAATGACTGAATTACTAACGTCATCATTGTCAACCAAATCATCACAAGCAACACATTTATTGTCAGATGACCATTTATAATTTCTATATGTTCTTTAATAACAGTTATCTTTGGTAAAGGCTGAGGTATCAGCAGCATCACCACAAGTACCACTAGTTGTAGACCAAGCGCATAAAGAATAGGTGGTATCACCTGTTTCAATAGCGTTACATCCGATTTCAGTGGTGGCATCTGAGCATTTTTCAGCACGGCAAGCAGTTCCTTCATAAACGCAACTGCCTGAATTATTACACATAGTTGTAAAATTGTTAAGATCTGAGCAAGCAGAGACTTCTCCCAATGATTTACATGTATTATCATTAGCCCAAGCACATCTTGTTGTTTTTGAATCAGCTCCAGAGCATGTAGCAGCTGTTGTAAATGATGAACATGTAACAAAAGTGTAATCAGCACAAGTTCCTGATTATGCTGTACACCATTAATCTCCAGGGCAATTATCTGTAGCATAATCAGCACAAGATGAAAAGCTAGCACAAGCATTGGATTTGTTCCAATAACAATCGTCAATTTCATTACAAAGAGCAGCAGTTGTTCCATCAGAACATGAAGGATCCCAATCTTCACAAGCTCCACTATTCCATTTGCATGAATCTGCAGCATCACAAAGAGTTTATGATGTTAAATCTTCACAGGTCAAACTGTATTCTTAGCATTCAGCATCTGATGAGTTCCAAAGACACCAAGCTAATGCTAATCCACAATCTGTTTGATTGAGTTCTGTGCAGTCACAATGTTGTGAGGCATCAACTGTAACAGCTGCTGTTGTTAAACCAATAAGGCAAAGTGAGATCAACACTTATCTTAACATTTTAATTATTAATAAGTATCTTTAATTAACCCCCTTATAAACAGCGACAGGTAAATTAAAATGCCAATATGAAATAAATTAATTTGAATTAATTCAAAAATAATTCATTGTACAATTATTCAATTTTTTTTTACATTAATTTTTTTAAAATTTTTGTTAACAACTATGTGAAAACTATGTGAAAACTAAATGAATAAGGCTTTAAGTTTCCATTAATATTATTTCTAATAATGATTTGTATATTTTTTTTCTTTACCTCTAAATGGAGTTTGATTATACTCTTTTTTTTAATTCATAAATTTAGGAAATCATACAAAAATAGGTATTTTTGGGCTCTAAACCTACTTTTTAATACACATACAAGTTAGAAAATAAAGGAGCTTTTAGTTTAAACCATTTCTTCAAATGATCTCTTTATAAATTCTTAAAATTTTATTAATATATATGAAGTCATTTGTAGCCTATAAAGAAGGTAAAATAGCATAGAAGAGTTTATTATTGTGGTTTTAACTTAATATTTTAGAAATCAATAAGATTAAGCCAAAAGCAGTTTTTATATTACATTTTATTGTTTTAACAGTTTCATTTCTTAAATATAAAAGTTTTGGTATAGTTGATATACTTTAAGAAAGATAACAAAATAATTGTAATTAAAGCTTAAAAAACTTTGAAAGAAGGACTTATATTAGTATAAATACCATTACACATATTATTTTAAACTGAAAAATATCAGCCATTTATTAAATCAACAAATAAAATTTAAATAACGAATTAATTAATTTTTTGATTTTTTCAATATAAATTGATTTAGACTTTAGGAGTAATTAAAATTTTACCAAAAGGGTTTGTTAGTAACAAATTATCATTTTTCCAATTAGTGAGTATGCTGCTGATGTCTTGAGAAACACAATAGAGTAAAAATTGATAAATATATATTATAGACACCAAAAAATAGAATATATTTAATAGATAAAATTATGTGAAAAGACTTAATTACAAAAATAATATAAGGTTTAAAAAAGTGAACATTAAAAACTTAAGAAAATGATATACTTTTAGATTATTGATAAGAAAACTATAAATTATTTGAATCTAATGGTAATAAATTATGAATATTCTTAAATTTCTTAATAAGTGATAAATAAATTATTTATAATGTATTAAATTCACTATTCATTAGATTAAGATTAATTTATAATCAAATTGATATGAATAAATTATTAATAAAAATATTAAGTAAACTTTCTTAAATATTTAATAATCTATTAAATAATTCTAGCAATCATTTATATAATCCAAGTAATTATTATTATGAAAAAGATATTAAGAGATTAAAAACAATGAAAAAAGAAATTGATTATAGTTGTATTCATAATTAATTGAGGTTCATATAAAATCTTAAATAGAATATAAATATTGTTAAATATTTGAATTGTAATCAAATTGGAGATTTATTATTTAGATTCTATTGAAATAATAATAATTATAGTAATATAGGGAATATATAATTTGTATTTATTTAAGATGAAATATTTAATTTAAAAATTATATAATGAGAAATTAAATGTAATTCGAATATAATGAGTTAGTTAAATAAACAAAATTTGAATTAAATTGAAAACATAATGCAATCAAACAAAGGGCATAAATTAGATGAATTACTTACATGTTTTATCTGTCTATCAAACCTAACAAATCCACATATATGTCCATGTTGCTCAAAATTATGTTGCTATTCTTGTATTACAAAATGGTTGACAGAAAATAGACAGGTTTATAAGTTCTTCTTAATTAGAATAGTGTCCACATTGTAGATCATCATTAAGAATTTAATAATTAGTAAATTGTAGATTTTTAGAGGATATAGTGGCATAAAATGATCCATGTCCCCTCCATAATGCTCAATTATAATATTATTGTGTTACATGTGCACATCCTATATGTTCTGAATGTGCAATGTTTTCTGCACATAAAATGCATGAATTTGAACATATTTAAAAGGTTTTTGACTCAAAAATCAAAGATGTAAAAACAAAAATTGAAAATGTTTAAGATAATTTAAAAACATTGAAGCATTCAGCAATAGTAATAGATGAATTAATGGATGAATTGAATCGTAGTAAAGATGAAAGAGTTTAAGAGATATAAGCATACACAGAATAACTATTATAAAAATTAGAATAAACACATACTGCAAGAATGGGCAATCTATAGATGTAAAGATAAAGATTAAATGAAAAAATTCTAATAGCATCTACAGAATTAGATAATATATCATAATAAATAAAATGCTATTAAAAAAGTAAAACAATAATGACAGCATAAGAACTCTTATAAAGAATAGAATAAGTTGATGTTGAACCTGAGTAAATTGGTGGTATTTCAATGAATTTTTAATCAGAAATAATCCCTCAATATGTTTGTGATAGTTTTGAATTAAATAATTTTAGTCAAAGTGAGGAAATTGTATATTCTGATCATTTAATTACTAATGGTATAAAATGGAGATTAAAGATATATCCACATGGAAATGGAAATGCAAAAAATATATACATTTCTATATTTTTAGAAATGGATTCAAAATATTAAGAAATTAGAAGATATGAATATAAAATAGAGATGATTAATTAAAAGAATGGTTAATCAGTAATTAGAGAATTTGCTAGTGATTTTGAAGGAGGAGAATGTTGGGGTTATAATAGATTTTTTAGAATTGATTTATTATAGAAAGATGGATATTTGGTGAATGATAATTTATTGTTTAAATATTATGTTAGAGCTCCAAATTATTATAATTAATGTTTAGATATGCAAAGATATATTAAATAATTAGAATCATAGGTTAGTATTTAATAGACTACTAGAAAAATTGAACAATAATCATCAATATAAAAATTAAAAGAGGAAATAGAATAATATGCAGAAAAAATAGAATAATTAGAATAATCATAACCAAGCAATACTTCTGAAATTTAAGAAAGTGAAGATGATCATCAATTATAATAGTAAGATGAAGAAAGTAGTTCATCCAGTAATCATTCAGATTATTATTTTGATGGTTAATTTTAAGAAATACCTATTTCTTAAGAAAGTTTACCTATAAGAAGAAATCTTATATAAAAATTCAATTAATCGAACTTAGTTAATACATCTTAAAATCTAAGGAGTCCCTTATCAGAATTTAGCGAAAATTTATATTCTTGAATTAATTATTGCTTTATAATTTAATAATATAAAAATTATGTTTCAGGAACAATCATTTGGAGGATAAGATAAATCGACTATAGAATGTCGAAATTTAAGAAGACATGGTAAATGTACAGTTTCTGGTTGTCCATATTCACATAGTGCTGCTTCTGTTAAACCAAAAGTTTTAAGGAAAGTATTTTAAGGATAAAGTGGAATAATATCTGATCCAAATTAGTAATAATAGAATTATCGTAACAATTTTTAGAATAGAAATAATTATAATAACAACTAAAATTATTAAGGCAGAAGAGATTTTCAATTTAATAGATTAAATCAAATTAATAATAATAATACATAAGACAGATTAAATTATAGTAATAATTAATATTAGCAATCCTAATCCACATAATAATATGATAATAGATAATAAAATTAACCATCATATTAGGGTTTATAATAATAACCAACAATTGGACTTTAATTACTATATAAAATGAATGTTGAAAATCTTAAAGGATTTTTAAGGATAATCAATATTAATAACAATTTTTATTTTGGTCTAATAAACAATAGAGGTATTACTTTTTATCCTTACAATGAAACCAAAGGAATAGATATTTTATAAAAGATAGATTTTGTAATTTAATTTGAAGTAGAAGATGCATTTATCTAAGAATATACTTAACAAAATAATAGAAAAGAACTTTATTGTTTAGCTGTTGTGATCATTGAATCAGGTTTAAAAAGCGTGTTGATTTATCCAGATTTTTTAAATTCTTAGACTAATTTTGTTAAAATTTCAGATATTTCTAATACATACTTAAAATATATACATGTTAATACATTAAATAGTGAATTATACACTTTTAGTTCAGATGGTATTCTATTTGCTTATTGAAGGGTTTATCAGAGTGTTCGACCTTCAAAACACTCAAAATTCATTAAAGTATTATGCTTAATAGACAGAAGTCTTTTAGTCCATCTTTTTCCTTAATGAAACATCAAAGGGTAGCAATTTCCTTATTTCAACAAAGAATGGAAACATTTATCATTATATGAATCAATAATTTACTAAATTGCATTCCTTAACAGAACAAACATTAATAGATATTACTATTGAGAATGATTCAAAACGAGTTTATTTAGCCACAAAAAGTTAAGAAATGTTTAATATATATATAATAAATGAAAATAATGCTTTTGAAGGTCCAATTTATACACATAGATATCCTATTTAAAAATTAATTGGATTCAAAGATTTTGATTAAATTAATTGTTTATTAGTATCAGATAATAGAGGTTAATTGGATATATTAAAGGAATAACCATCTAATGATTAAGTGAAATTCTTAAGATAAATACAATGTATAAAATTTAATATCTATAATAAGATAAATAAATTATGGGAGATATTAAGAAAATTATGTTTTTTAAAATGATTAATATCAATAAAGTTATTGAAAAAATGATATTTGTTCAAAGATAAAAGGATCCATAAAGATAAGAATCAACTAATTTTGAATTTTATAGATTTTATTAGATATTTTGAATTATATGAAATCATTTTATATAAATTATTTTAATTTATAGATATATCTAATATATTATTTACATTTATTTTTTTTTTGTTTAATAAATACAATTTTAAAATATAAAAAAAATAGTGAAATTTACAAATGGAAATATTAAGGGATTCAATTAAATTATAGGAAGAAAACAAAATGATGAAAAAGCTTATACTTTTATAATAATAAGTTGGATATCCTTTGGATAATTTAATGAATGAATAGTTCATTCAAAAATTACCAGAAGAAAGTTTTATTTGGTAAAATATCATTATTATTCATATTTAGGACAATAATCTCTAAAAAGTATGAATTATTAACAGGTTAAAGAGCCAATAAAGAAATGATCATATAGGAAGAATTATACAAAAATATTACATATGGAATGTTTGTAGATGAATGTTTTTAAGCTATATTACATTTCCATTTAGTAATTACTGATTATAAATTCAACTTACATATTATTCAAGATTCTATAAGAATTCTAAAATAATAAATATCACTCTTAGAAAGTCACAATTAATTAAAATTTGAATAACCAAATAGATTATCAATATGTTATACTAGACATAAAAGTTTAAAAACAGATATTTTCAATCATTATCAGATTAAATATAAAGCATATCTTAATGGATAAGAATAAAAATCAATTTATGCAAGAGGAGATGAATTAATATGTTCATTTCCAATTTTAGAAGAAAGTAAAATCTTAACAATAGCTGTTTATGGTAAGAGAAAAGTAAATGGAACAGAATTTAAGATTTTAAGTAGAATTGAATTAGATTTAAATGAAGTATTGATTTCATTTCCTTTGCAAAGTTATTCTAAAGAATTAATATAACCTTGTTTATTAACATTAGATTATTAAGATGAATCATTAGATGCTCAATTTTATGGAAAAAATCCAATTGAACTTTAGTATTAATTTGATTAATATTATAGATTTTAACTTTCAATGCCTTCAGAAAATAGAATTTAAATGATGAAAGTTCTTAAATAAAGACAAGAAGATTTTGCAAATTAGATTAGATAGGAAATAGAAAGCAGAAATTCTTATATCTAATCAATTATTTAACCTTTTAATGATTTAATTTATATCCCTGGAGAAGATCTAAAAAATAAATATGAAATAGATTCATAAAGATTTTCATGTTCAGCTTGTTTAATATTTTGATATTTTTTTATAATTTTTAATATAATTTTATATAATATATTTTATTCAATCTGTTGAATTCTGTTCTAAAATTTTTAATTTTTTTATATATATTATTTCCTACTAGGAAAATTAAGACAATTTAGAGTTTAAAAATTATAATCTGAATAGAATTTTAATCAATAAATTAAGAAAATAATAATAAATAATACATTATGGGTATTCCACTATCAACTCTATTTAATTCATGGTTCTCAAATAAAGAAATGAGAATATTAATGGTCGGCTTAGATGCAGCTGGAAAAACAACTATTTTATATAAATTAAAACTAGGAGAAGTAGTTAGTTCAGTTCCAACTATTGGTTTTAATGTAGAAAAAGTTGAATATAAAAATATCAATTTCACTGTTTGGGATATTGGAGGTTAAGATAAATTAAGATTATTATGGAGACATTACTTTACTGGATCTTAAGGAATTATATTTGTTATAGATTCATCAGATAAAGAAAGAATTAATATAGCAAAAGAAGAACTAATGAGATTAATGGGTGATGAAGAATTAAGGGATGCAGCACTCTTAGTTTTGGCTAATAAATTTGATATCTCTTAAGTTTCTGTAGATGAATTAATATCTAAACTGGAGTTATAAAGTTTAAGAAGGGAATGGTTTGTATAAACTACTTGTGCAATTACTGGTGATGGACTTTATCAAGGTTTAGATTGGTTATCAAAATAATTCAAAAAAAGAAAAAACTGACTTATATTATATATGTATTTAATTATATACATTTAACACATTAAGATTCTATAGTATTTAATTTAATATACTAAACATTAAATAGAGAAAAGCATTTAAATAATTTTATTATCATATTGATAATTTAATTAATTATTTATAAATTAGTCAAAGTTTATATGATTATTTAATTAATTTCATTATTTTACTTCGTGTTTCTATTGATATTATTTGTTATGTTAAATTTTTTTCAAAATTATGATATCCTATCATATACATATTTATTGTTTAATAAAATTAAATAAAAATCAATGATATTAACAATATTTATATATTATAATATTAAGATGTTTTTTTTAAGTAATTACATCATAGAAGCAGGAAATGTATGAAGATCTAAAATATAAATTTAAATTAATATAATAATTAAATTTTTGGCTCTAATGTTAATTAAAAACAATAAATCTAAATTATTTTAATCTAATTATACTATTTGAATCAATTAAAGTAGTTCTTTTATTATTATTGATATTCAAACTAAACTTTATTGATGTGAAATTAGTTCACTTTAATAAAACTTATATAATGATATATATATATAATTTAATAATTATTAGAAAATAATTAATGAAATAAATATAAGACAAGACATATAGAGAATTTGCTGATATAAAACATCATATTGGTACATTACAAAGTCAATAACTTTCTGATGAAGAACTCTCGCTTCTTTATGAGAGATTGAAATATCAATTCACAAATCTTAATTAGCAAGTTGCAGTTACTTAAACTCTTAAACCTAGTAGTGAGCCATAACCAATTCATAAGAGATAAAAAATAAAAAGAGATAAACCATTGATTTAATAGTAAGGGAAATCAATAGCACTTCCTAAAATTTTGAAACAACCATCTATAGAATAGAGACCAAAAAAAACTAAAGGGAAACTTAAATCTGCTCATATCTATTAGGCAAATGTCTTAAATAGAGAATTAAGATTAAACCCTTTTTCAGATTTACCTACAATATTAGATGAAGACCTTAATAAAGGAGTTAATAATCTAATTTAATCTGGTTTTATACCAAGAGATGTTGATTTAGGTCCTGCTTTTAAGAGAGGAGAGGAATTACTTTCTATTTCTTAAGTTTAAGTTTAGAATCCACCAGATAAAAATAAGTATTATAACACAGGATTATCAGAAAATTTATCTAAATATAAAGTAGCTCCATAAAAATAAGCAGTTAAATAGGTTGAAGAATATTCATCTTCTTTTGTTGAGAGGTAATCAGTACCAAGAGAAAAAATACAGTAAACAAAAGTTGTTAGAAAAGCTAAGTATATAATAGAAATAAAAAATGGACATTATGTACCAGATTTTAATTATCAAATAAGACATTTTATGATTTGGGGAGGAATAATGCATATTATAAAGAAATTAGAGAAGATTGCATCAGGATAATTGGATGGTGATAGGATAGCATAATTGGCTTAATCTTAATTCAAAGTTCATTTGATAGATTTGTATGAATGTTATATTTCCAGACCAATAATGGAGAGATTATATATTTTAAATAAGAAACAATTTTCAGTTGATAGTGCTATAGTAAAAATTTAAGCAACAGTTAGAATGTTTGTTGCATCAAGAAAGTATAGACATCAAAAAAGGATTGTATAGAAGGTTATTAGAATTTAAAAGGAATTTAGATTAAAATAAACATATGTTTATACTATAAATTAAATAAAAAAGAATATGGGATAATTAATTAGTACATTAGAAAATAGATAAAAATAATTTTTATTAGAAGATTTAAATTAAAAAAGAATAGAAATACATATTCCTTCATATTCTATTAAATAATTTTAAAGATTATCAATGAGTCATTTTAAAAATAGAGAAGGTTTATAATTGACAAGATTATTTGCTTTAAAAGATCCTAATGTAAGTATAATATTTGTATGTGCACCTTTATAAGAAGAAATTATGGCTTATTTTTATAAATTATTAGAAGTTGCTGGTATAAATGTTGAAGGTAGATTATTCTTTATTCATCCTGAGAATATAAATAGATTTCCATAACATTATTCATTGGCATTATTATTATATCTATCTCCTAAAGCTATTCATTAAATTTCTGAATTAATTAAAGGATAATTCTCATATATTATACCAATGAGAGTTGGTAGAGAAGAGTTTTTAATAGCTGAATATCTAAAAACAAATATATATTCTGGTCCTTATGAATTAATAGAGAAATACTCTAAAAAATCTGAAGCTATTGAATTATTTAGATAATTATCATTTCCTGTGGCACCAGAATATCATAAATTTGTTAGTAAAGATGATTTTGTAGATAAATTGACTGTATTGATTATGAAAAATCTAACAGTATAAAAATGGATGTTTAAAGTAGACATTGAATTTAATGGAAGAGGAACAGCATGGTTTAGTTTAGAAGGTGTAAAATAATTTATAGAAATCAAAAAGTTTCCACATGGTATTGAATTTAAAGTACTAAGAGAATTAGTTTAAACTGTAAAAAATAATTGTAAATATTATATAGTTATTACCAATAAAAACTGTATTGGCATTTCCTTAGATGTTTACTTTTGAAGAATACTTAGATAATTTTATTAAAAATGGTGGAATAGTTGAGGCTTATCCAAATGCTTAGAAAGTTTAAACAATAAATATCTAAGTAAATCTTGAGAATTAAGGAACTTATTAGATATTGAATACATCTACTAGCATAGTAATAAAAGAGTAACTATAATACATGAATATTCATTAGAATGTCTAAAGTTGGTTGTATATATCCTTAGAATGTTCTTAATCTAAATGTCGATTCTCTCATATAACCATTAGCAGAGGAATTATATAAATAGAATATATTTGGTTATTTTACACTTTCTTTATTATCATTTAATGGTGCCTTCTATACTAAATCTTTGAAGTTTGGATTAGATGAATATATTGGAGCAACAATATTGGCAACAGCAATGGATACTGATTAGTTTACGTATATTCCATTTGTTTATCATCCAGGGATAGCAGAATAGAAATTTAATGATTTATTTATAAAATGTAGAAAGGAAGGAATATCATTTGATATAGAAAAGAAAGTTGGAACATTAATATGGTTATCTGATTAAATTGAGAAAGGAGTATTATCATTATTATGTTTGGGTGCCCCTAAGAAAGCTGTGAAATTAACTACTGATGCATTGAATTTTTTGTAATAATTTGGTGGGAATATAATGAAAACAAATAGTCATTAAAAACAAGACACATTTTACTTTATAGATATAGTTAGTAGATTAAGATAATTAAATAGTGAAGGTTAATAATGATATGTATATTGTCATGATTATAATTCTAATGTTACTCCTTGTAAAGTTTTCTCCAACTATACAACCCGATTTGTTAATAATTGTTACTTATTTTCCATATTCATTTTTGCTTTCAACAATAATAAATATTCTTTAGACAATCTATATTGTTCTTCTATAAAGAGAACATTATCTTCTTTGATTTGACGCTATTTCTTTTTTAGATTATCTCTAAAATTCATTTCTATATTTTTCAATTCCTATTCATATCTAGTATTGATTAAAGACATTTCTAATCTAATTTAATTCGCTTGATCTTTTAATTAAGCAATATTCTTTCGACTTTCAGCAATATAACTCTAGATTAAAATATTATTACATTGACATGTTTTGTAGGATGATTATAACTCTCTAAGAAATGAATTTGTGAGTTCTGATTTTATTGATCATCCACATTAAAACCATATCTAAAATTATTTGCAATTGGTGTTTGACTATGGATGGTTGTGAGTCTGAAATCACTCAAACCTGTAGATCTAAATCTATTCAATTTATGTTAAGTAGTTTTTACAACTCTTTATGTTGAATAAGGTGTGTCTATATAAATACTATTGATACTAGAATCTTAAGATTTAAAATATAACAGTTGTCTTATATTGATCTCAGAACTCATTTATTTTTTATTTAATTAAAGTAATTATTCAATAGATTTTAAGTAATAATTATATCAATGTTCAGCTATGAATTTATCATTCATCCATATGCATTAAACACTATGACTCTAATAATTTAAAATCCAAGATCCAAAAATTAAATCATCAATCTATGTTCCAATAAAATAATAATTTTTAATTCTCAATTCTTCCTTTCTTTAATTCATCCCTTTAGCAACCTCTCCCTTAAAATATTCATAATTAGATAAAACTTCATGAATAGTATCATCTTAAGCATCTTCTCTCCTCATTTCTATTTCATCTCCTTCAAAAGATCATTTAGAAATGTACCTTATATCAATTTATTATATTCCTTTGAATTATATATTACCATTAATGTCTTTAATTCATGCATTCTATAGGCTTCAGTGTAATTGCTAACAGATATTGATAATTGAATTGGATTTCGTTGACTATATTCATCCACTTCCAAAAATCAATTGAAATATAGAGGCAGTTTGAATTTAATAATTATGTCATCTAATAATTCAAAATAAAACCCATCTTATTTATATAAAATTTCAGTCTTCTTGAATCAAAAAAATATCTACAAACTAATCAAATTGAAAATTTATCTAATTTGAATAAATCTCTCTTATAATTCTGTAATAACTATTTTATTTCTTAATCCGCTGTAATTCTGAAAAAAGTTTATATAGTTTGGCTCTATAAACTTTTATTTCACGAAATTTTAAAGCATCATTCCTATATGGATAAAGAGCTCTAAAATCTTCTGTAAAGACAGCTATATCAGCATTATTAGCACATATACACTAATCTCTCATATTATAATCTGAATCTTCTCTGTAGTTTCTTTAGCATTATCTAATTAAAATAACTTATTATCTTTCCTAAATTCCCATTTATACTAATTAATACTTTTAATTATAAATTCTAATTGTTTTATTCAAATTTAGGATAAATGTTACTTTTTTATAATTATTTAATATTGCTTCCTGTTATTTTTTATTCATATAATCACTCTATTCAATATATGAATATTGAAGATTCTCAAGCATATTGAATTAAACAAACACTCTCAATAAGTGAATTCTAATAAATGAATTTTATATTTTTAGATCTAAAGCCATCATCCAAATCCTTTTTAGATGAATCACTTCTTATTATAATTTTTAAACTAATGTGATTGATAAATGAACAGAATTATTAAATTAATTTCATTAACTTTAAAAAATAATCTTTGATTTATATTTATATTTGAATATCTTACATATCATAGTTTCTTGATATGGGAGAAGTTCTTAGGATTTTTGATACCTTTATATATCTACTAACGATATCGAAGATGCCAATTATGTTAAACTATCTTTGAATTAAATATATAATTAATTGCGTACTTCTTAATGAATATACGACTATAAATTAATAGAATTCTGTTTACCTTAAAATTCTAAAAGTTTTATTGAATTCTTCCTCTACAGGGTCCTCTGATTAAGATAGTAGTCCACTAAAAGTGCGAATATTCATCAACTTCTTCTTGTAGACTGTGATTCTGTCTAAAAACTTGACTACCTTAAGCTAGTCTCCCAATATTTAATGACAAAGAGTTTGATGCTTTGAAGCAAAAGTGATTATGGCCTTACAATAGTTCTTGGGAATGTTTTTGGTGTCTTTCTATTCTTGATTTGAAATTCCTTTTCTTTTTTGAATAGTTAGTTTAATGGATGGACTTTATTAAGAAATCAATCTTGGCACATACTATTATATATGTAATTATTGTTAGAAATCATTCAAAATAGGAGTATTTTAAACATTTATTTTATGTCCACCCAAATGTACCTACTTATTTAATAGAGATAATACTAAAAATTCATTGTATGAATACTATAGTACAAATGGATATGATGGAACACTAATATTTTGAGAGTGATTTTAAGCCAATTATAGGATATGTAAGGCTTACAAGAATTTACTTACAGCTTTTGAATAAGCTATTTAAAAGGGTAGATTTTCTTCCAGATCCTTTTTTTTATTTAGTTTATAAAGCGTTGTTTTAGAGATACTCACTGGAGTATGGACATTTATCTCCTCCTCCTTTATTATACAATTGCTCATTGTACAAATCTTTTTTTATAATATACTAACACAATATATTAATCCTTATTTATGAATAGAAATTGGTTCATTATAATAGATAATATCCAAAAAGATTGAATATATAATAATTTATTTTTAATATTCGATTTAAGACATCATTATTTATACTCGTAAACCAATACCACAATATCTGCAATCTATTTAAAATAGTATAAGATACTTAAATATAAGTCATTCAATTATCTAAAAATTATAAAAAAAAAAGTAAAATTTGTACTTCATTTTTATTTTTACAATATTAAATAATAATTATAATTATGGAATAATATTCATAAGAAAATCCATTGTTTGAATTGCTATATATTTTGAGAGGTGGAATTCCATAGTAGCAATACTTGTTTCATCATATCTTTCAATACTTTGACAAAGATCAAAAATTAGCCATAAAACTTTGCAGAATATTGATGAACCATCAAAATTGTAATGAAAAAAATCAAAATGGATTCACACCACTCTAAATTGCTGTTATTTATAACTAAATAGGTGCTATTAGATATGCTTAATAGGATGGTAGATTCGATTTCACAGATGAAACATTAATGTAATTAGCAATCACTTATACATAACTTGAAATAGTTGAAATTCTATTATTTGTAAGAATATTCTTCTCAATATTAGGATGAAGGCTTGTCAGTAATTTAAACTAATTTTAGAAAAATGAATTCTCAATCTTCAACTTATTTAAAAATTCTAAAAAGATTAGAAAAAATAGAAATTCATAAAGTTTTAAAAGAGGATACATCTGAATATTAAGAAATTATAGTTAATGAAGTTCCTCAATTTCCAAATACTAAGACTCCAGGAAAAATTATGTCAGATAATTTAAATGAATATCTTATCCCAACTGCTTAATGCATATAAACATTAGAGGATATTAATTAAGAAAATATTTAAAAAGAGAAATAGAAAAAAAGCAATTTTTGTACTTAAAGTTCTTGTTAAGAATATCAAATTTAAAAATAACATAATTAAATTAAAGAAATAAAAGAAAATCGTATTTCCTATTAGAATTTATTTAGAAGTGAAATTGTTGTTGAATAATTACTATCTGTAATATTCTTATTTTAATATGTAATTAAATATGCATAATCAAGAGCCATAATTAGATTATGTGATGTTATTGTTTCTAATGTAAAGCAAAACTGATTTCTATTATAAGAATTTAGATTGTTTAATTGAATAAGTATTAGTGCTAATCCCTAATAATTACTTACTTTCATATTCAAATTTCGATTAAACATAGAAAATTGATAATTATTGCAAATTATTTACAAAAGATATTTTATAAACACTTCATGAATATAAGTAGGTAATTTTATACAATATTAAAAGTAACTAAAAAGAAAGCATCATCATTTTGATAATCTTAAAGCATTACTTTCAAATAAATTAAAATATGATATTTCATATCAAGGTCCAAGTAAAGATTTACTTTTGAAGTTCCAAAACTCAATCCAAATTTATAGATGTTTATTTAATATTTTACATAAACCTTATATGAATTTTAATTGTACTTTTTTCACTTTAGAATAATTTGAGTTAATAAATAAATAAGAGTTTAGAAATTCATTTTAATTGCTTACTACTAACTAGACCCTATAAACAAACCATTGATGATTATATATAATAAATTAAACTACTCTATTATAATAAATTAAACTTATATTTTATTTATTTCCTATTGAATTAACAATGAAATTGAATATAATATATATAACTGTTTAAAATAAATTGAATGATTATTTATATTTCTATTTATAATTCTATTTTTATTAATATATTTATATTTATATTTTTCATAACAAAATTAAACAGATGAATATGTGACTTAAATCTAATCTAATTCTTATAGATATATTATAATTGTTAAATGAAATTACACATATATATATGTTATATATATTAATATTTCAAACCAATACATAATAACTAACGATAATTGGTACTCCATGTAATAAACTAAACCAAAAGTAAATTAATCCTATCCTAGTATTCTTTAAGAATCTTAATGCCATCATTACTGGTACTTGGAGCAACATAATAAATGTCATAAAAGGAGTAAATTATCGTAAAGCTGTTATCAATATTACCTCATGAAGTAAGGCTGAAAATGCAAAAGTCAATACTTTTGACCATACTCTTGGTATTTTCCATTCTTAAAATTATAAATATACATGGGTATGCAAAAAAGCATAAACTACTGTATTCCATTTTGCATTGAATTCTTCAAAGGTTGTTGCATTCCACCTTATTATTAAATAATATGTAATACCAATCATGATAGAATTCTCTATCCCCAAAATATGTTATCTCAGCTAATAAATTTAATATGTTTTCAAAGGTTAAGAAGAAAAGTACTATCCAAAATGCAGTTAATGGGAATAATAATAATATTGTTTATAGCAGCTAATCTGAAGTTCCTATTATTGCTGGTTCAATATGTTTAGCTATTATTACTGCTCCAAGGATATCAAAATAAGCTATATTAAATAACTTTGCAAAACAATAAACTAATCTTATTTTCTTTGTTTTTGGATAATCATGATAGAATACCAAAGCTGGAGTAATCATATATATAAAGAATTCCCATAAACTAATAGGCTTTTAACAACGTTTTATATAAGAAACTTCTTTCATAAATCCAATACAAGCCATAGCACCAACAAAAGCTCCAGGTATAAAGCCCAATTAATATTTAATAGTAAACCATGGAAATATAATAAATGGAAGAGATATGAAAAATATGTATAACTTTTATTATCCAAACTTATGTGAAAAGTATATTGTATATGGATATGTGAATGACTAATATAAGTAATTATAATTTACATAGATAGCCCAGATTATCATTAAAATACCATCTCTCTTCACAGCAGATATAGTTGGTGAATTAGCTAGTATAGTCCCTAACTAATTAAAATAGATGAGATCAATTAAGTAATAGATTCCCAACATATGTGCATAATAGTAGAATCCATGTAATTTGGACTTAGACAACACTGAATGATCATCCATATCATCTAATTATGATACACGATGTTGATAAGTGTAAGGTTTCATAATGATAATAAATAAATTTTCATGAAATTTTTTTGAAATCTGAATCAAAAAATGTTCCAGATAAAACTGCTTTTATATGTCTACCTGTTGTTACCAATTTCATATCATGTTCTTCATAAATATCACAAACTGAATATGCTATATTTTTGCCTACTTTTTGACAAACTGCATGTATAAGTAAAGAATCATTTAATTTAGCTGGACTTATAAATGATAAACCTAATTCAATACTTAAATATAATATGATAATACCTGACTGTTCTTGATAGATTTTTATCTCCTCTCAAAATAGCTATAGTAGTTGCACAATCTAATATAGTAGCTAATGCACCTCCATGAACTGATCCATTCATATTCATTATATTTTATGGTACTTTATATCTTAAAACCAAATGATTTGAATTCCTTTCTAATGCATGTCCTGGAAGATATTAAAATGCTAAATAAAAATGTTCAGCATATGTATTTTTTAGAATAGGAATTTACACAAATCTCTTAAAAATATCTCCAAATTCTTTATGTACCATTTTATGAAAAATAAAATTTATTATTTATAAAATAGTCAATCTCCACTTGTTAAATAGAATATTAGTTAATCTTGTTTTCTTAATTGGAGTTTACATTCTCTATCACTTACAAGACCTACTTTGTTCAATTCTGTTACTACTTCTTATCCTTATTATACAACTTCAATAGGAATTCCTATAAGGTCATTTCTAAATGATCCTAAGATGTTCATTGTGCTATAGCATACCTAATTCACATGCTTCATAAACAAATTAATATGCCACTGTATCAACTCCAGCACATCTACAATCTATTAAATTTAAATGTGGATGAACTTGATAATCATTCAATTATGGTCTCTATTTTGCATATTATATACTCACCCAATCAAAGAACAAACTTTAAATTGGACAAATGCATTCTTTAGATTATTCAATCTATGGTTCTTCAAATTCTATTGTATCTGGATCAATAAATGTCATTTTATTATAAAAATTGATTGCTATCTTAACACAATCTCCACTTATAATTGGTTGAATGTTCATAACTTGNTGAATTAGCTAGTATAGTCCCTAACTAATTAAAATAGATGAGATCAATTAAGTAATAGATTCCCAACATATGTGCATAATAGTAGAATCCATGTAATTTGGACTTAGACAACACTGAATGATCATCCATATCATCTAATTATGATACACGATGTTGATAAGTGTAAGGTTTCATAATGATAATAAATAAATTTTCATGAAATTTTTTTGAAATCTGAATCAAAAAATGTTCCAGATAAAACTGCTTTTATATGTCTACCTGTTGTTACCAATTTCATATCATGTTCTTCATAAATATCACAAACTGAATATGCTATATTTTTGCCTACTTTTTGACAAACTGCATGTATAAGTAAAGAATCATTTAATTTAGCTGGACTTATAAATGATAAACCTAATTCAATACTTAAATATAATATGATAATACCTGACTGTTCTTGATAGATTTTTATCTCCTCTCAAAATAGCTATAGTAGTTGCACAATCTAATATAGTAGCTAATGCACCTCCATGAACTGATCCATTCATATTCATTATATTTTATGGTACTTTATATCTTAAAACCAAATGATTTGAATTCCTTTCTAATGCATGTCCTGGAAGATATTAAAATGCTAAATAAAAATGTTCAGCATATGTATTTTTTAGAATAGGAATTTACACAAATCTCTTAAAAATATCTCCAAATTCTTTATGTACCATTTTATGAAAAATAAAATTTATTATTTATAAAATAGTCAATCTCCACTTGTTAAATAGAATATTAGTTAATCTTGTTTTCTTAATTGGAGTTTACATTCTCTATCACTTACAAGACCTACTTTGTTCAATTCTGTTACTACTTCTTATCCTTATTATACAACTTCAATAGGAATTCCTATAAGGTCATTTCTAAATGATCCTAAGATGTTCATTGTGCTATAGCATACCTAATTCACATGCTTCATAAACAAATTAATATGCCACTGTATCAACTCCAGCACATCTACAATCTATTAAATTTAAATGTGGATGAACTTGATAATCATTCAATTATGGTCTCTATTTTGCATATTATATACTCACCCAATCAAAGAACAAACTTTAAATTGGACAAATGCATTCTTTAGATTATTCAATCTATGGTTCTTCAAATTCTATTGTATCTGGATCAATAAATGTCATTTTATTATAAAAATTGATTGCTATCTTAACACAATCTCCACTTATAATTGGTTGAATGTTCATAACTTGAGTAACACTTTCAAAATTATGTTTTGTTTATTCTCTTGCAATCCATATAACTCTTTTTGAATTTGATGGTAAAACATCAAATTTATATTAACTTCTGTATTTGCGATTATATTTGAAAGCAATAGTAATACATTTTCCATTAAATCCGTTTAATACTTCTGAAATTATTGTTCTATCCCATCTAAATAATTTCTTTGTTTTAGTATTATCAACACAAAAGCTTGTTTATAAAAAATCACTATTCTTAAATGAAAGTATATGCAAATGTGCTTTTATAAATCTATTATCTAAATCTTCAAGCCATTCTTTCAATGTTTGATGAAATCCTACATACCATTATCCTGAAACCAGAATAAGGTTTGTAAAATCTGCAATCAAAAATGCAAGAATAATTCTTCTTATTCTATCTTAGCCTTATTTAATAAAGAGAAATTGAGTAAGTTTATCAGATGCATCCTAATATTAAAGAACTCTAGCCATCATTTTTGGGATTGTGGCCTTTTTGCTTTCCTTTCTCTACATTAATATATATATATAAATATTATATTTATAAATCATTTCAAACCATAATTTGATACTCAAAATATTATTCTTATATGTTTATATTTTTCTATCAATACAATCTAATTATGTTATTATTTTTGAATTTTTAGAATTCTTAATTTACAGTATTTATTAACCATAATCCAGTTAAAGACTCATCATATTTATTATGTACAATAAAATATTATATTTAATTTAGACATAAACATTAATACAATAAATTTATTCATATATATTAATATGCAAAAAACGATTTTAGCTTTGCTAATTGTTATGTGTACAACACTTCAAGTGCAAGAGCTATAATAGGCCAATAAATAATTTGATAAACTATCTTAAGACTCTCCTGTAGGAAAATTCTTAATGGATTTGGCTTAAATTCATGCAGAAGTATAAGGACCATTAGATGATTTAAAAGAAACAATTGAAAAATTTTATGAGAATTTGCAAGAGAGTATCTCATAATTAGATGGTGAATTTCAATCGAAATAAGCAATCCATTTGAAGTAGTTTAAATTAATGAAATAGGGTTCTTTAAAATTATGAATCTAATTAATAAGATGCTTAAATTGATATTGCTTAATCATAAGATCAATTAGATAATGTATTGTCAAGAAACAAAGAAAATATTGAAAAGAGATTAAAATAGATCTAATAAAATATTAATGATAATAGATCAAATATTTAAAGAGACAAATTATAAAGAAATCAATAAAAAGATTAAAATGTTGAACATATTCATGAACATCAATAGGCAACTACATCAATTGATGAAGCATTATCTCTTGTATAAGGTTTAAGTAGTGGAAATATTGCTTTTGTTGAAGCACCAATGAAAAAGACTTTAGATTATATAAAATAGAAAGTAAATTCAAGAGAAGAATATGCTCCATTAATAGATGCATTAATAAGTTTATCTGGAACATAAGATACAAAATAAATAAAAGAATTGTTAAATAAATTAAGAAATTAGATTGTTGATTCAATGATTTAATTAACATCAGATGAAAATGATGCTTAAAAAATGTTTGATGATCGTTAAAAGTAATTAGATTCAGAATTTTAAGTAAATAATAATTTATTATTGATAGGAATTCTAAACTTAAGTAAATTAAGCAACTTATGATTTGGCATCTATTTCAGCTAGAATAGATTAAGAAAAAGAATTTACAAAATAGAGATAAAGTGATTTAGATATGTACAATAACTAAATTGGTATATAAAATATTTATATTAAGAAATGGAGAATAATAATTTTGCTGCAATTACTGGATTATATAATGAGATTAGATCTGTGAGATTAAAGGAATTAAAGATTGCTGAAGATGCTAAAAAGTATTGAATATGTATTAATTATAATTTAGTTTCGCTTATTCATCACAATTTAGAGAGTTGTTATAATCAAAATTGAACAAATGAAATTTATATATATATATATATTGATATATAATAAATCATATTAATGATGGTTTTGGTTCAGTATTGTATTGTTATGGTGATTAAATTAAATGTATTGATCTAGATGGGGTTCTAGTTATAATTTATTTCTTTGATGAAGTAGGTGTTTATGGAGTATCACAAATAACTTCATCATATAATTTAGATAGTTCTTCAAATTGTGATTTTAAATTTTATTATTTGAGACGAATCTTTTCAAACAAATTAGGTTAATGAATAATCTAAGAATTATTATTTGATTGATTAATTTATTTATGTAATGTTTTAATAGATTCTGTTTAATCATCAACAATCTATTATAAATTGTAAGTTCTAATATCATATTATTCTTTTAAATCCTTCAATTATTTATCTTTATAATCAATCATTTTTTATTATTCTTTTGTATATGCTTCAAATTATGATAATCTAGCTATAATTTTATCTTTTTCATCTAATTAATCACGTAATTCATCAATTTCTACTTTTTAACAAACCTATAATTTCTATAAAGAAATTTAGAGTTCTTCAATATCTTTTTATTATTTAGCATTTTACTATTTTAATATCTCAATTTCTTAATCTTTTTTTAAACTTTCTTTATTATCAGAAATAAAATGAGATTGCTACAATTAAGAAAATAAAGAGTGTTGACTCTCATTAACTTCTTCAATTTTACCAAGATTTGACTTTTCAAATTAACTCATAGAATAAGTAAGTTGACTATTCTATATAGCTGATGTATTATATGAGACAGTCTCTTCATCAGGTATAACACTATTAATCTTTTTTTATAATTGAGAATATGTCATAAAGTCTCCCTTTTTGATAGGTGAAGTATCAGTTATTTTAGTCGGATGTTAATCATCTATTTCCTCTTCAGAATTAACTTCACTCATTAATAAATTTTATTTTCTTATTTCATTAAGTTTAATTTCTTAAGACAGAATACAATTAAGATTATCGTATTTATTTACTGTTAAATATAAATTATTAAATTTATTTATGTCATCACAATAACAATAAAGTTAAAGACAATAAAGATCAGTAACAAATGTGAACAATGTTTCATTTTCAGGATCTTAAATTAATAATGTAATAACTAAATAAAATTAAAGTAGCTTAAAAAAAGTGAATCTTCACTATCTCCAATGAAAAATCAAGAATATAATAAATCAAAAACATAAAGAGTATATAAAACATAAACAATGAATACTATGAATACTATACCTACAATGAAAGGAATTCCAAATACATTTACAGTTTAATAAAATTGTGTTGCAGCTTAACCATTATGCATGAATATTATTGTAGTTTCAAAAGAAGAAATAGAAATGCCTTGGAGACTTGAATGCGAATATTTACAATCACTTATAACTGAATTATAAAATAAATAATAAAGCAAATCTGTATAAATAGTAGAGAAAACAATAACGGATAATTCTAGAGTTGAATTATTAGAATCATAACTTAAAGAATTAAGAAGATAAAATGAATCATTGTAATATGAATTACATACATCCAAAATTAATTATGAAAAAGAATTATAAAGAATAAATGGTACATTTGAACTTAGAAGTGTTTAAGTTGAAGATATTGCATAAAAAGAAAGTGAATTTTATCTTATTAGAATTAAATTAGAAGATTAAATATCAATATTAGAAAATAAAATTAAATAATTAGATATATAATTAAGAAGATCATAAGATGAAAATTTTAAATTATAATAAATAATTAGGTAATTAATAATATTAATGTAGTACTCGAGAAAATGAAATTAATTCTCTTAGAATTTAAATTACATAAATTTAATCTAATAGTAATACAAGTGAATTAATTAGAATTAAAGAATTGGAAACTTAAATTAGATACTTAAATTCTGATATTGATAATATCAATTCAAAACTTATTAATTCCAATAATGAAAATTAATAATTAAGAATCTAATTATAAAATATAGATTATAAAACAGATACAAAAAATAATGAATTAATACTTAAATTAAGAGAATATGAAAGTAGAATAACTATGCTTACATCTGAAATTGAACGTCTTATTTATTCAATTAAATAAAAAGATATAGAATTAGATGAATGGAAGACTAGATATTAATAATTAGAAATGTCTGGATCTTCTGTTTTCTAAGAAAAAGTAGAATATCTATCTTAAGAAGTAGAAGTTTGGAAATCTAAATTTATTAGAGCAAATCATGAATATAATAGATGTTAAGAAGAAATTTCAATGTTATAAGCAGAATTAGAATCATTAAAAAAATAAAAAAAAGTATTATTATTTATTTATTTTAATTATTTAGTAAGAATTAACAATTACTTCTAGAGTTGTTACCAAATAAGCAACAACATAAAATAGTGGTTATAAATAATACTAACAGTGAATATATTAATGATATTCAATATTAAAAATCAGATTACTATTCATCTTAAATTTATACATCTGAAACATCTGGATGTGGTGATTAATATGGTCTATCATTCACTCTTTCAAAACATTTAGATATCTTAGGATTTGATAATGGTGAAGGATTCATCTATTCTAATTCATCATAAACACTACGTATAAAACTATTCATTTATATTTTATTTTTACTTCTTTAATCCATCTGATGCACTTTATCCTGATTCTGCTACTAAATTTTCAATAAATTCAACAATATTATTTAATACTTGATCATTCTCTGCTTTCAAAGCTAATCTTATACTATTTGCAAATATTTTATCATGATTTTCTATTTAAACTTCTGCTTTAAATTATAAATCAAGTAATTATTTTGCTAAATCATTAGCATATAATAAAATAGTAGGATCACTTAATCCCAAATAAACATATTCTTTTGTTACTTTTGCAATCTATTCACATGATTCCATATTTTATATTTTAAAATCTGTATTTTAAAAACACCAATGAAGTAATTCAAAATGACCTAATGGTAAATTTAATAATTTCTATGTATTAAGCTATAAAATAATAAATAATTAATTACTAATTCAACCAAATGTAATAATATAGAAAATGATACTTATTTGACATATTATGAGTTAATATTTAATTTGAATTTAAAACTTTTATCAGAAGGTATAAAGAAATCATATTCATCTTATTAATCTTAACTGAATAAAGCCCATTATCTTGATTCTTAAGATATTTCAAGAACAATCTTTACAAATAATTCTAATAATATTTTACTATCTCCCAATAAATCTACTATATGAATTAATGATTGAGTCATAAGAATATCTGAATCTATAGGTAATGAAGCAATTTCTATTCCTTTAGAAAAATGATTAACTTATGCTTTTAAATCAGATATTATTCTGTCATTTTCAATTGAAAAGAATTTCTATCCTTATTAAGGAGATTTAATTAAATTTTAATAATTTGAAGTCTTTATAACTCCTCTAATCATTTCACTAAATAATATAACACATAAACAACGATTTTACCACCATCTATTTTTAGCTAAAGCCATAACATGTTTATCAATTTTTACTTATGAATTAGCTTTAGCTGCATTACATAAAATTGCTAAAGCACTTGAACTCAAAGATGTTGAAGCAGATAGAAAATATATATATCCATATCTTTTCATATCATTCCATAATTCTGATTATTCTTATTCAAATCCTGAAAAAACAGCTAAACATTACATAAAGTGTTCAACTGATAAATTTTATTTCATTGTTTATATAACTTAATATTTAAACATAGGTTCTTAAAAGGAACATATCATTTAAATTAATAATTATTTCTTTTCAAAAAAGACACTCTATTTTATTAGAATACAAATTTCTGGTAAAAAGAATTCTAAAAATAATGATCTAGTTTTTAATGCATCCTTTTATAATGATCTTGCACCAAATTAATTAACCAAATCAATACAAACATGAACTCTTTAAACTGGTAAATTTTAAATACATTAAAAAGTAAATTTAAAAAATTTCCAAACTTCATTTGTGTCTTTAAATATAAAATTTATATATGCTTCTTTCTAAGTTATTAATTCTTAAAAAAATCCATTCACAAAATCATCAGGATATATATCTATTAAATCTATAAAACTTTATAAAGCTGTAGCATTCTATTTAAATTATACTGTTTATACAAATTAAGGAAATTATTATCTTTATGTAAGTGCTTCATTTAAAATCTAAATATATTTAAAATACATACATCATATATTGATTTATCTAATTATTTTTCTCTTGTAGATGTAGCTTCTCTCTTATTTTCATCCATTGGTGTTTTTTAAAATGAATCCTGTATCTATCTATCATTATTTGAATTAAGTTTCTCCTATTATTTCTCTTACTACTATTATTCCTCCTTTAATTTCAATAAACTCCCTTAAACAGGTCTGTAACTGATATTTTTCACTTCAATTTAGTAATTTAGATTCTCTAAATTTTAACTGATTGGTTTGCTTGGAACTCTCATAAAATTAGTTCTTTTAGATGAAACCGACAATGGAGCATGTTTTTCAGATAACTATTCTTTTTAGAATTAATCTTCCTATTTCTGCTCTTCTTGTAATTTCTCTATTCCCTTCTCTTTTAATAGGAATGTCTAAGTATTTTGAGTTGATGTAGCAAATTCTTTAGAATTCACATAAGATGCCAAAGGAGGATTAATAACCCTTATTTATATAAATTTAATACTTTCTTTAAGTTAAGAAACTATAAATGCTCACTAAAAAATTATAAAGGGCATTCCAATCATTATCTAAAATCTCAACAAATCCTTTATGATTTGGAATAACTATATCATTCTTTTTAAAGAAAAGCTCTAATTGTTAATAATTGTTTTATCTTCTTTCATCTTTTTATGAATTATCAAAAGAGTGCATTTACACTCTACCAGGATAATACCTAGAGAATATTTCAGCAATTAAAAAACCATTACTCAAATCTCTAATTAAGTTATCAATATTAATGTATACCTTCTAGGATCTTTGACTGAATAACTTAGATCAAGTCCTTAAATCCATTTAATAATTTCTCTTGGTAACGCTTTTCCTACAGGCTGAAATGTTTAAGTATTTGTATTAGAACTCATAAATTTTATTAATATTTTATTATATAAGTTAGATTTAAATCAAGAATCAAAAAAATGAATTAAATGTATTGTTAATTAGTTTTTTTTGTTTTTGGATTATAATAAACTATTTATTTTAATCTATCAAACTTAATTTTAAGTGGATATTAAATTATTATTTTTTAATTATCATTCATACTTTTTTAGAATGATTCAAAGATATTAAGAAAAATTCATGAATAGGTAATTATTATAGTTTAATTATTTTTAGAGTATGAAGAACTTTATTTTTTATAAAAACTCTCTTTAATCATAATCATCAAATGTTATAAATCTTAAATTAGTAAAATTCATAGATTGTATTATTTAATAACTCTTTAAATTATTTGTTTAGAGATCGGTTTAACTAAAAATTCTTTGATTCCAATTTTGTTACCTTATTCTTTCATTTTAATTTCATCATATCCAGAAGTTATAAATATTTTCATTTATAAATTTGTTTTTAGAATTTAAGTTGAGGTTTATATACCATTTAAACCTGGCATTTCCATATCCATAAATATGGCTGAATAACCTTAACAAAATTCTGAACATTTTTTTTATTAAATATAATCTAATGCATCAGTTCCATTAAAAACTTTGTCTATTTAAGAACTTGAACTAAATTTAATATTAAATTATATTACAATTATTTAATTTGCATTTCTAATACTTATTAATTAAATACATTATCATCAACTATCAAAATATGTTTACAAGTGATTTTATTATCTTAAATTTCATTTTTGACTTCAATAGATTCTGAAATACTTTAATTTTCACTATTTATAATTATTTAATATTATTATTATATCTAAGATCTCTAATTATTTAAACGAATTTCATTCAAAGATGGTGAATAATCATCTTCTAAATATATTTATTAGGGCTTAACACAAGGACACTTATGATGTAATTATTGAATTTTTAAAGTTAAATAAAAGTAAGATCCATGTTTTACTTAAGTAGTATCTTAAGAAATTACTTTCAATCCAGTATTATCATAAGATAATTATTAAGCTAATTTATTACTTATCAATAAACCTAATCCAACACCTTATTCATTTAAATTTTCAGAGAGTCCCTCTTTAATTTTACCAAATGCTTTAAAGAGTTTAGTTAAATTATTTTATGATATTCCAACTCCTGTGTCTTCTACACCAGCATTTACTAATAATCCTTATTATACAAACTTAATTGATATAGCTCCTTTTTAAGTAAATTTTAGAGCATTTGCAATAAGATTGACTAAGATTTGTTTAAGTCTATTTCTATCCGTTTTAATTTGGAGGCATTTTACATTTGATATAACATTCAATTTAATATTTTTTAATTCTGCTTAAAGTTTAAACATCTATAAACATTCTTCTCCTAATTCAGTTAAATTGAATGTTTTTTATATTAAAGTAAATTAATCTGCCTTAATTTAAGCTAAATCAAGTAAATCGTTTGCTAAATTTAACATATAGTAAGAGTTTTCTAATACAATAGAAATATTCTAACAGATATAATCAAAATTATTTAGCTATTCTTTAAGTCTACTTAATATATTAATAACTACATTTAGTGGTGATCTGAATTCGTGACTTACAAAAGATAAAGTTTTAGATTTTGATTAATTAATTTAAAGTAATTCTTTAATATTTTTTCTATGAATAACATCTCTTGCAATTATAAATAATAAATCTTCACTTCCAATTGATATAGTTATTTCTATTGATCTTTTTGTATTCTCAATTTCAAAACTTGTTTCAATAACTAATACATTTGTATTTTCAGTAGTTTCTCTTCTAAATCTTTTTGTACCAAATACATAAAGCAAACATTTATATACAGTATTAAGCTAAATCATTAATAAAATAATACTTAACTAGTCAATGATCTAAATCTTGGAGATTGATTTTATTCTGTATGTCTTTAAGTTATCTATTAATCTTAAGAATAATATTTTAAAAAATTCAACTTTGAAGATTTAAGATATTTTATTTATTGTTAATTAAGACTTTATAATGAAAACAAGGAATCTCTAGAATGAAGTGGTGATTCATCCATTAAAATCTCACAAGATAACTTTTCAAAAAGTATCAATAAATCATGGTTGTTTTTTTGAAAAATCTTTTTACTATTTTAATTTTAATATTCAATTTTAGGTTTTGAGTTAGTTATATTATCAAATTTCTCAAATTATACTATTATAACACCTTCAGAAAGTACATCAAATAATGAACTATAATCAATTTAAGAGAGAGTATCATTTATTTAATTTTTTTATTACTTATCTGTACTTATAAAACTTAAATCCCTAATTATAGTTCTTTTTGGATTAATTTTTAATTATGTTTATCTTAAAGTTGTATTTTAAAATGTTTCAAAGGGAGTATCTTAGAATCCATTCACACTTGATTAATTAGGCTTAACAATTTAAATAGTATTTTTTTAAGAGTGTAACCACATTATAAGTAGCAAATATAATTTTTAATTTACAATTACAATATATTAATAATTGATTTCATGTGATAAGCTACTATTTAAATTCAATTAATATGAAAAACTCAAAAGAAGTATTATAAAAAAAAAAATCCTAATTGTCTTCCATATTCTACTATCAGCAATGTTAATCTTCATATTTGTCAAATTATGCACAATAACAATATAAAAATAATTTTGATAACCATTATCTACTCCATACATAAATGATTCTACTTAAAATAAAATTATATCCATTAATATAAGAGCAAGTTTCAATTCTGTTTAAAAAAAGCATGTCTTTTTAAAACATAATAATTCCAAAACTATCTAGGCTAGTAAATTGATCATCAAAAAATTAACAAATTGATTTTCTAACTTCTAATATTAGATTATTATTCTTATAAATTGAAATAGCAAAGAAATAATCATTGAAATTTATAGTTTGCGAGAACTTGATTAGTTTATCATCATAGTCAAATTTAAAAATAGTTAAATATATATATATAAGAAATTAAAATTTATTTTTTCTCATTTAAAGCATTAAATTATTTTTCAAAGAAAATATTAATTTTAGGTTAACCTTATTGATGATCTTATAAGTTAGAAGGAAAATTATAATTGTGTTTAATAATAAATCAATCAAATTTTATTATTCCTTAATAATTATCTTCTCATTATTATTTTCAATTAAATATCTATAGATTGATAAGAGATATTTAGATATAAGATTATTTATTTTTTCAAATAATACATGATTAATTTACAAATGAAAACTTAATAATTTTTAATGTTTTTTATAAAATATAAATTCAACATCTAATATTCTGTAAATAAAATTATTTCTGTATTCTAAATGTGACTCAGAACAAACTTCCATATTGACAGTAACTTCTTTTTGTAATAAAAATCTAAACATTATATAATTGCAGTAAATAACATTGCAGTTAATGGTCATTATTAGGCAAAGTGTAAACTTTATTTTTGGTGATCATCTTTTTTCAGATAAATTAAATTAAATAGATCATTACTTGTTTACTTTATAGTTTGAAATATTTTTAGAACAAATTTTTTTATCAATTATTTTATTTTTTGCATTTTAATATTATAAAATTATCAAAAAGATAATTTATTCAATCCTTGGCCAAATTGTAAATATTTTGCAATAATTTTTTTAATTTTATAGCCTGTTTATATATGTAACAAAAAGTTTAATTTCTACTAATTTAAAAATTAGCCCTTGATTTTAAGCATTATATCATTATTAGATTCAAGTGAATATATTTATATCATAAACATGACGATTAATAGAGAGATTTCAAAATTAATTCTAAATTTATTCATCCTACAACTTGATAATATATTATTCTTCTATTCTCTAAGAAGATAGGATTTTATTTAAAATATCTCTAATATTTAAAATTATTTGAATTGATTTTAGATTCAAGTATAATAATACAATTTTGAATTTTAAGAACTATAATTTTATTATTAATCAAAAATAGATTCTTAGTTGCTTTTATTGAATTATGAATCGAATTTTTTAGATTGTATCTATAATTTATATATATAAGACATTATTTTAATAATATTCAAAATCAACATGGTAAAATATTATTTAGCTCTTTTTTTTATTTTATTAGTTCTGTATTTTTGTTAACCATTTCTCTAACTTTTTTTGATTTTGGATGTTAAAGATCACCCAATTAAAGAGACCAATTTTGTTGATCTATTGGTTAGGAATCATCATTAAAATATGAATAAAGTTAATCTTTAATTTAAGATGGCTTAATTGGTAAACTAATTAATTCAGGTTCTGGATTTGTAATTTGAGTTGTCAGGTTTTATATTGGTTATTAAAGAGGCTGTTCAATTTAATCATTATCATTTTTAATGAAATCCGTTTATTATTATTAAACAACAGTCTCCAAATACTTATTATCTAATGATGGATCAGATCTGATCTCTTATCCTTATTCTAAGGCATTTGGTAGAGTTGATTATTAATTTTAGGAATCAATGTCCAACTTTAAATGTCTTAGAGATGTGCTTTTAGAGATGGCTAAGTTATATTTTGAAGGATCCTTAATTTGAGTAATAGTGATTAATTACTTTAATTCTTTTTAACATTCTTTATTGGACTCTATGATCTTACATTTTAAAATCATCAGCAATCATATTCTCTTTCTTAATTTTTTCATCAATAGCAGCAGTCATCATTTATTAAACTTATTTATTACTATCCATTTATTAAATGAATTATATGTTGTTTTTTATTTATTCCTTTTGTACATGTTATTATTATATTTATTTGGATTCTTGTTTAATTTCTGCTCCAAACATTTTATTCACATAGGGTTTCATCAATAATGCTTGAATTTTATTGGTAAATACAGTGTATCTTTCTGATTTAATAGAAGAATAGTGTTCTACAGCTTACTAGATTAGTAGATCAGATTACACTATATAATTCTAATAGCTCTTAAATTTCTTCTTTTGAAGCTGCATTTGATTCAACATCTAATTCTAAATTTAAGACTTTCTCTGCAAAATTTGAAGGAAGTTTAGGTTATTGTACTGGCTGTTAAGGTTTATTAAATAACCAAGACATAAAATAATAAATTTAATCAAAGCTTTTGATTAAGTAGTATCTCAATGAATTCTTTTTCTGTAATTTCTCCTTCTGCCTTACATTCTGTTAGAATCTATTACCAAAGTTCTTCATCAATACTCCCAATCATAAGCTCTAGTTCTTCTTTTGATATTTTCCCATCATCATTCGCATCGAATATTTTAAATGCAGCCTTAACTCGTTCAAGTGAAACCAATTTTTCTTAGTTCATTGCTGCCATCAAAAATTCTATGATAATAAATATTTAATAAAAGTTATACCTGAAAAATCAACTTATCCACTTTGATTGAGATCTACAATCTAAAGAATCTTATTAACTTCTTTGATTGCTAATTCTTTATCTTTTAAAACCAAAGTATAACCTTCAATCAATTCATCTTTTGATAATATCCCATTTTTATCTTAATCCAAAGTTTAAAATGTTTTAACTAATTCATCTTATTCCTATTGAGAAGTCATTTAACATGCTATATAAGAAAGAACGGCTTAGGTAAAAATAGATTTAGCCTAATAAGATGTCAAATTAAATTACTTGGAATTTTTGTAAATTTTATAAGACTATTTAATTAACCTTTTCATTTAAATTGTGTTTATCAATCCAAGGATCATGTAAAGCTTGTTTTGCTGAAATTCTTTAATTTGGATTAACCTATAACATTTAAGTTATCAAATTTTTAGCTTCTTCCGAGATAAAGCCCCAATCTTCCTCTAAACTAAGTTTGAATTATAAATTACAATCAAATTTAAATTTTCCTTCACTCACTTTATGCATAATATCTTTTTCTGTTTTTCCAGTAAATGGAGGATATCCACATAATAAAATGTATAAAATGACACCACAAGACCATACATCGCATTTCTCATTATAATCTTATTTTAAAACTTCTGGTGCTATATAATAAGCCTATATATTAATGATAAACTATACAGTTCCAAGCTTTTTAGTCATTTTCTTCTCTGTATCATATTTTCTGGAAGTACCAAAATCGATAACTTTTAAGGGTGAATTAGAAGACTCATTGACAAATAAAATATTTTCAGGTTTTAAATCTCTATGAACAATTTTTTATTCATGACAATAAACAACAGCAAGTAAGATTTATCTAATAAATTCAGCAGCCTTTTTTTCACTAAAATATGACATTGATTTTATTCGATCAAATAATTCACCTCCTGACAAATATTCTGTTATCAAATAATAGTTCTATTAATCTTAATATAATTCATATAATTTGACTATGTGAGGATGATCTAAATTTTTTAAAATGTTCATTTCTGCAAATAATCTTTGTTGTTCTTCAACAATTAATGAACTTTTTTTTAATTATTTCATAGCCCTGATCATTCCTAGAATTCATAAATTTATCTACCAGTATTTTTATGAGTAACCTTCCAAACTTTTCCGTAAGCTCCTTAACCTAAGACTTCTCCAGTTGTATAATATTTGTGTATGCTTCCTTACTTAAGATTCACGAAAACATCGGCTCCTAGCTTTACTGTTCCAACGGAGGATACAGTTAACTTTTTTTTAATCCCATACTTAGGCAATGCTACATTATTTATATATTTATTACTATCAACTTTACTTTCTGATTGCTAAAACACTTTACATTATTATCCTGTCTAATCATCTTTTGGAGTATTATCTTATGGAGACTCTGCTATAACTTCAAAATCTTCATATTGTTCCTTTATTTCATTAACATTGTCCAAACCAACATATTGATCATTGTTTACACTTTTCTTTGATAATGTATGTAAACTCCCTTTAACATCGACTACTATTTCATTTGTTAATTGTTTTTATGGAAATGAACAGCACTAAGCTCCCATCTTATAATAAAATTTTTAATAAATAATTGAAACATCATTATAGTTAATAATTCACCCCATCATTGATTATCTCAAATATTTCATTGAAAAATTCTTCTTTAATGCATGTGCTGCTCTAAGATCCATCTATTTTGGTATCTAAGTGGTTGTTATTTTAGATTTAATTAAAGATTCTCTTCTCATTTAACTTTATGTTTGTTTTTCTTTAACTTAATCTTTCCATTCAATATTTCTTTCATACATAGGCTTTCTTCTATCAAATATATCTTAAGTTGTTTTAAGAATTTTAGGTGAGAAAGTACATTAGATTAATTCTTATTCAAGTTTAATAGTTTATGAATCCATAGTTAAAACACCTTCTTTATTTATGTTTCTTGTAGACTGATTTAGTTATGAACCATTTAATCTAGCAGATAGTATACGAGATGTTTATGATAATTAAGGTTAAAAAGTACATTTCTTTTTGAATTCCTCTTCCAATTTGAGTGCCAGATAGTCTTATTTCTCTTGTTTATGCTTTAAAAAATTTATTCCTGATTGATACATATCACTATTTGGACGGGCTCTCTAAGATTTAATATCGTTTTAACTGATTAATTCAGATTCTGAAAAGTATTTTTATTTGATATATTTTTGCTTATTTAAAGAAGAAATAGTGTGCTTTTCATGAAAATTTGATGTTGACAATAAGCTTAAACTAGCTTCATCGTAAATATTAATGTTCATTTATTAATATATTGTTTATCAATTAAATATTGTAAATATAATAGATGTAAGATGTTTAATTATAATGTTTAGAAACATTATAACTCTATTAAAATACTATAATAATTAGTAAAGATAAAATACAAGAGAATTAATATGAATTAAATAATACAAAAAATAATTATGTAATTTAAGAACATTTAGATTAAAGTTATACTTAATTATTAAATTAATTTAATAAATATCACTTTATATAAGTATTGACTTATTTGATTTTTCTAATTTAGAATTTTAATATAGAATTCAAGACTATACAGATTGTGATTAGTATGAATATTAAATGTCTAACTGATTATTAGATAAATATTTTATTCATTAAGAGTGTTGAATTTAATAACGAATATTTTATATTTAAACGTACTTATAGAGTGATTCAATCTGAATCATTGTATTATTATAGTAGTTTAAATTAA